GTGAGCACAAGTGAGCTGCCAAAAGCGCGTTACAATGTGTGGCTGTGCGGCCAAAGGTTTGACGAAGCGCAAAAGCACGCAGCCGAGTCAAAGAATAAATGCGAAGGTTTGCAAATGCGAAAGCGATGCAGCGCAGCAATGAAACGGGAAGAGAGTTTGATGATAGAAAGCGGTAAGTAAAATGTGAACGTTAATGCAGCTGTTAGAGACACATGCACGATAGTATGCTGAAAGTTTAGATTTTCAGTTCAAGTGTTGCATGCAAGTTGGTGATAATTTTGATGTGGGAAAGATAGATACATGAGAAATCATAAGTACTAAGTATATATGAGAGCGCGCGAAGCACTGTTCGGAGCCAAGTAGGTAGCGGTAGTATGTAAACAGGGTCCATAACACAAGTAATGAGAATATAAATGAAATAGTATCAGAAATAATGTCAGTCTAATGCAGATTAAGTTAAGTATGCACCAATGGACCAGTGGAGGACATGGATAGGACAAGGGAAGGATGTGCAATGGAACTGAAGAGAAGCCGACACGAACTGATGCGCGCATGTGAGCCACAGCCGTTGGCCAATTGCAGAAATGATGTGCGCCATGCTAGCAATAGCTGTTATGCTGACCGTCAGGTCGGCATAGGAACTTGGATAGGTCTTCTTAGCGACAGCTCGAATGAGCCCACCGAAGCTAAGGGTGTTCGGCGACTTGACGGAATGTCAAGGGTTCCTCCGGTTATCTCAGTAAGACGGCGCTCGTCGAGATACTGGGCTAGCGGATACAGCTAAGGCGCGGGGAGCGACTTAGAAGTGCAGTCTAGACAGCTAAGCTGGGAGGCTTAGTTGAACAGGTTTCAAGGTAGAACCAAGTAGATTAAAGTAAAGATCTTAGTACAATAATCTGTCTACTTATATGTCTACATATAAGTGTTCAAGCTCAGTCTGTATCTAATAGTATATCTGGGATCTATGATAAGAGACCATGAGGTCAAGCATGAGGCCAGATAAGATACATGAGGTATAACCTCTGATCAAGCATGCAGCGCCAAGTGCGACTGTGCATATACATGAGGCACCAAGAGGCGCTCCGGATCTTGATGAGACTTCATGAGGTGGCAACACTCAACATGTGCTGATCTAGGGTGACCATGAGGCGTACAGCCTCCATGGGTCAGGTACAAGGCCGTCTAGGCCAGGGGCGGTGTCACAGCGGTCCAGACCGCTTTCTTTCTAAGTGCTGGCGGCGTGCCACCGCATTGGGAGTCTGGCAGAGCGGGGGCTCTTGTAGTTGTTGCAGATGACTGTAACAATAGCACGCACAATGCAAGGACCTAAGGGATGCTGCAAAAATGGCCTCTATGAGGCTACAAGGACTCCAAGTCCTACAACGAGATGGTCACGCGGAGCTCTATACAAAGGTACAAATATCTCAGTATTCGTGTCAAAACTCTATTAACAAATGTTGTACCTATACAAAGGTATGAATCTACTAGAACATTAGACTTTCAGTCAAACATTACAAAAAGGCTAACTTACATCTCAGCATCTGTGTTGAAAATGAGATGTTTGGATGCGGGTACCTGGGCTTATAAGATGAGTGTCCCAGGTACAGTCATATAGGGAAAAATAAACTAAAAGATGGACAGTGCATGAGCCAACCATGACACATTGTTTGTGTTCTCTGTTTGGATGCGCTCACACTCAACATCCTCTCCTCTGGCTCTATCCTTCGGCCAGTTGATGTGTCTCTCCCTTGGCTCTTGTCCCTTTGGCTTTCTCTCCTTCGGATTCATCAGATCCCAATGTTCACGTTACTCTGTTTTCTCTTCTTGGCACCTTCTTCACCATATACATATGTACTATACAGTATTGCAACTCTCATCAGTGGCTGCTGATGGTTATATAACACACAGTACATATACCACATCTTGCACTTGTTTTCACCTCAGCATTGTTCCAAAACCTTCACTGAGACTCTAAACTATTCTAGCGAACTCCCAACATACAACTCTACAATGAAAGCATGGCCTTTAGTGCTTCCTGTGCAAGGTCAGAGTATCGAGAAGACCTTCTCATTGTTCCTTAACTCCCTCAACAAAGCACTTGCCAAATCCTTCTTGTCAGGCACTAAATGCACTCTCCCACTGCTATGGTATGGTTCGCACACTACCAAACCCATTGGAGATGATGCTATTCAGCACAAGCCTGATCTCTGCTTGTCAAACAAGGTGGAACTAGAGTGGAGCAACTTGCATACTTTTTGTTGCTATAAAAAATATAACATCAGTCTTGGTCTTGATAGATAGATACCTTCAAGGTAATGAGTCCAGGTGGTGAGCAGGCTATGATTGAGTATCAGAGTAATGTGCAGGCAGTGAGCACTGAGCAGGCAATGGGTGGGTAATGATCAGGCAATCTATTTTGTCTGTGGACAAAACTTAAGGTTATGTCATCACATTTTGTCACCAGCATAAACTTCAAATTTTCTGCATGTCTCAATTGTCAGACAAAACTTCATACAAAAGTAGGCATATGGTCATGTCCCAAATTTCATGTTTTGTCCAACATTTTAGGCCAGAATTAAACTTCAAATTTGAGATCATGCATAAATTCTGATTAAATTTCTTATTGTAATTGACATGTGGTTGGTGGGAATATGGTTGCCAATGCCTGAAATTTTGTATTTCATTCAAAACAGTGCCAAAATTTGAAGTTATGTCTCCATCTTTATGTCAGTTTAAATTTCAAATATTTTCTTCACATTTAATACAACATAAAAACATCTCTTAAATATCAATAACCCAAATGTGTAGGCTCTCAAATTGATCTGGAACTGGTTTAGGGGTCTAGAAGGTGGTGGCTATAGCATTATGTTATTTGTGCAGTATACATAGAAAAGTATGAGAGCTTGCAAGGTAACAAGAAGGATTCAACATTCTGAAATCACTCTGTGAGCCATGTTCATGACACAAAGCTTGGAAGATAAATAGGGACGTTCAAAGTTGGGCGCCCACGCCCACTGCCTATGCCCATGACCCCTTCGCCCATGGGACGTCACCTAAAATGTAGTTTGCATAATTAGATAATACAAACGTAAATCTAAAAATTTAACAATTGGTTGTTACCTTCAATACTCACTGTCACAATCAGATCTGCGCATATGGCGAAGAAGAAGGATAGCAGCGTCACAATCCCAGAGATCGTCTGGACCGACGACTTGGTCTGGCAGCTACTGGCGCAGATTGAGTTATCAGAGAACAGAGTCGTGCTTTTAGGCAAGCGGAAGAAGGGTGAGGTCAGTGAGTCAAAGTTATTAAATGATATGAGATATGATGTTTCTGTGCCAGAACACGTCAGGTGATAGCAAAGTGACAGTATATCAGCGCATGGCTGCTGCTGTTTTTCCGCAATTACACAGCCAGAATGCTGTTGCAATGGGGGATCGAGTCAAACAAAAGTACGAATAGTGAGTGTTGTGCTTCTCTCATTATTTTCTACCTTACAATTCCATGCAGCTTGACGAAAAAATACAAGGTGCATGCTCAACGTCTCCAGACAACTGGTGAAGGTGTCCAGTCTGATGCAAACAGCAACATCTCCGACAACAAATTTTTCGAATGCTATGTCCCTGCTGATGGACCTAACACAACCACAACTCCGAGGGCACAGTGTATTTGGGGTATGTTACTTATGTTCCTCAGAATAGTCAGACAGAGAATTTGCATATTCCCAAGCAATGTGTAGGGTGCCAGCTTTTGCCACAGGGGAGCGCTCTTGTAGATAACGAATTTGTTGAATAGCAAGAATGCAAGATATGTCACAGTGCAGCTGTGCTGCTGCCTCTTCGAGGGTCACATCTGGCTGAAATAAAGTACGTAGAACCATAAGCAAGAGATATGAGTGAAGATATTGCTCGTGTGATGTTCGGAGATGGGCCATTGAGTGTGATGTGCGGATACTTAGTGTTAAGTGTTGTCAGTTATCATTGATTATATAATACATTCGTTCAAGTACAAAACAGGAAGTGGTACTATTAGTTACCACTAGTTCATGCACTCCCTACATCTCGTGCACTGCTCAAAACAACACTTTTCTACTATCAATCTTCAAAATAATACATATGTATGAAACAATAAATCATAAGTACGCCCTACGAACTTGAATGGACCCAATCTAATAAGAAACAAAAGAGATATTTTTTTGGTGGTGACATGGCTGGTGTCACTCCTGCTGTCACCTGCCGGTACTGCCATAGCGGAGTTTCAAACTCAAACACGCTATCAATAACGCATCATATGGGCGAGTAGGATGGCACGCACTCGAGTTGCTGGGATGCGGGAACGTCCCAGAGATCCTTCTAAGCTCATATTCAAGCTGCTATCTCTGATACCTTGAAACCAGTTTCCGGAGTGCTGCTATAGCTCACAAGGTGAGCACTCCCTTACTTATTGTAACTCATTTTTTCTTTAGGTACCCCGCAGTGACAATAAAGATATTCTAGATTGCTACATAGCTAGCAATTTGTATATACAGTATACTATATACTACCTTCGTTAATGTCTAGACTCTAGTGCCGAATGGGCTTTGAAATCAGCTAGTGTGATGATACTGTGACTTTCCGTGACTTTTGTGACTGCACGAGATGTAGGGGGTGCACGAACTAGTGGTAACTAATAGTATATGGGCGAGGGGGGTCGTGGGCGTGGGCGCCCAACTTTGAACGTCCCTAATGGATGTTTCTTATTACGTGCAATACATGCACTCTGAGATAAGTTCCAGAAGACAAGTTAGAGCCAGTTCGGCAACAAGATGTTGACCGAGGTTTGGCAAATGTCAGGTGAGGCTTCTCGGCTTGAAGCGTCCCAGATGTCGGACTTCTAACCTTACATCTCCTACCTGTACATCTACCATGAATCCTTATCTTATTGATTGTCATCAATGACAAAGACTTCATACTAGTGTTATTGCACTTGCGGCTATCTGTGCTAGTTTTACGACAGTTCTCATGGCTCAGCCAGAGGTCACACAGCAGACTGACAGCTCAAAGGCACATTGGCAGGACGTGGAGGTGGACGTCCTGCTTCACCACCTGATTGAGAATCGGGCATCAGGTGGTGATGGCGGAAATTTCTCAATGCCTACCTACAACAGTGCAGCAGCTGCTATCAACGCCAATGGTACGATTCAGACAATAGGCCCACCGAAGACGGGCAAGATGGTCAAGACGAAGTGGACCTCGGTATGTCATCTTATATTGATTGACCATGAATTGATGAGATCGGTTTTAGCTCAAAAAAATATTCAATCAAATTGAGGTTTACCGCAACGTGTCTGGCTGCCATTGGGACAATGTGCGGGGAGCTGGAATTGAGGGCACTGCTGCTGCAAGTGTTTGGGATACATATGTTGCAGCAAGGGTATGTCATTATTAAATATATTGCGCAACATTGACTAACATTGAGCTAGTCATGAATTGCAATGCGCCCCTTGTGCAACAAAGGGTGGCTTCCATATGACGACATGCAGGCCATCTTAGGCGAGAACAGCGGTGCTCGTGGAAGGCACACATTCCACCCCGCTACTACAGCCCCTGCCTCCATCAGTATCGATGATGTGCTCGATGACGCTGACGGGGGCCTCAACCTTCTCGACATGGATGTGGACCCCGTTGTGCCAGACATGAGCACTGACCTGATGATGCCACTCAACATCGGAGCCTCCACTACTACTGGCTCCCAGTCCAGTAAACGCCTGCGCACCAACACTCTACTCGACTCCCTGGAGACATCGTCTCTCCCTTCCAGTGGCGCCCCCATATCTACCCATCCCGCTACTCCCAGTCGTTAACTCTCCCACTTTCAACGACATTGGTGCCCTCCACTCAGGTCTTCAAGAAGGCTCGAGTGTCGGCACATGGCAGCACACATACAGGGACGAGCAGTGCTGCCAAAGTCACTGCGAAGATAACTCCAGCAGCTGCCGTCATGAACATGCAAGGTAGTATCAATCGCCTCACTGACGCTATTGAAAAGAGCTTGGTCTATCTGCTTGAGGTGGTGCCACCACCACCACCTCCTCCTCCTCCTCCTGCTCCACCCACCATGATCTCCCGCGGTCTCGCAATCATGCGCAGCACAGATGCGGATCTGGGAGTTGAACAGAGAGCCACCCTCCTGCGGATATTTACCCGTGCAGGAGGGGAGAACAATCTTGCCGCTTATGTTGAGCTGGAGGATGACTTTGAGATGCGCCACGCGTTTATCTCTGGGCTCCTCGTGTCTACATAGAACTACCATACCATTTGTATCACTTCTCATTACATTTTCATATCAACATGTAGTATCTGTATTGTACATCCTATATAACATCATGATGAGTACGCGGGTGCGATTGAGTGAGTATGAGAGTGAGAAGGAACTTGCGGGACCGGGAATGATGTATAGGTGCGATTGAGCGTGAGTATGAGAGTGAGAAGGAACTTGTGGGACTGGGAACGATGTATGAGAGTGAGAAGGAACTTGCAGGACCGGGAACGGATCAGGAGTAGATGGTTGTGGTTGCTGCTACTAATGAGAAGTAAGTATGAGAGTGAGAAGGAACTTGTGGGACCGGGAACAGTGTATGAGAGTGAGAAGGAACTTGCGGGACTGGGAATGATGTATGAGAGTGAGAAGGAACTTGCAGGACCGGGAACGGATCAGGAGTAGATGGTTGTAGTTGCTGCTGCTGATATATAACATTGTAAAGTACAAGTGCATACTAGTACTAGTCCAGTCCGTCCTCATCCTCCTCTGCAATACCTTCTGATAGATCGTCGTTATCATCTCCTCTCTCCTGCAAAATGTGCTGATAATCCACCCACATCGCTTCGGCAATGCGATCACGCATCAAATGGACATTGTCGTGTCCAGCCGGATGATTCTCTGTTGGCTCCTGCTCCCAGTTTGCGGTGTGCGCATCGCCGATGGGGTGGTCTGTGTCAGGCAGGTTGCCTTCTGCGGGATCATGTAAGCGGATAAAATTATGGACGCTGCACAATGCAGCTGGAATCTGAGCCTGTATGCCCATAGCGTATGGTGGGGACAGCAGGAGGATCCGGAAGCGTCGTTTGAGGACGCCGAATATCTGCTCGATGATGTTTCGAGCGGATGCGTGATGTAGATTGAACAGCTCTTGTTTCGTAGTTGGCCTGTTCAAAATTAGCACATAACACAAAGAAAAAGGCTGGTACAACTCGCCTTACACTTGCACGACCCCATTCTGCAAGGTGGTAGCGCACGTTATGGTAGGGAATGAGTAGTTCAGGCCGCAGAGGGAAACCTGCATCTGCAAGGAAATATTTCCCTGCAGGAATGCGAAGGTCATGGCCCTCTGCAGCCTCGTAGATACGCGCATCTGTAGCCGACCCCTCCCAGCCAGTGAGGGCATATATGAAGTTGAGGTCGAAATCGCACGCAAACAAGCAGTTTTGCGAAACGAATCCCTTTCGATTATGATAGGGACCTCGTTCGAATGCACGAGGCGATGCGTGAATGTGGCTTCCGTCGATGGCGCCAATGGTATCTTTAAAAAACGGCCAGAACTTTGGGTTACAGCAGATTTTGTTGGGAACAGAGGCGTCTGGTAACTGGACATATTTTGTATAGAAGGGGGACGACGAGAAGATGTTGAGCATCTTGCGAAAGTAACTACATAGAACATGAGACAATATAAAAGCTGTTAGCGCATAGTACTCACCGGGAAATTGTATCATTCGAGCATTGAAATCTTTCACCGACGTGTCTGAGGGACAAACCTGTAACAGATGTGTACAGGAAAATCACAAGCTGCTCTTCTAGCAAGACGAACTTGGAGGCAGTGTGTCCGAAGGCACGAATCTCAGAGATGAGCTCTGCAAAGACGTGTGCATGCACACCAAGTTCGCACCGAATTCGTTCTGGATGACCGGACAACAGCTCCATAACCCAGGCTTCGCCGGAGAGGGCAGACGTGTGATAGGGCTCTGGATCCTTTGCATACACGGACTCTAATATATTGGCTGTAGCGCTGATCAGAATACTAACAAGAAGAATCGAATATTGGACGAGGCGACGTCGAGTTTCTGGGCGTTGGGGCACATAAGGTGGGAGTCGCGATTGAACACTCATTGCCATAGGACATAGATCAAGGACGATGTGTATAGCGTATCGATAACAGCTGGTGTTAGGGTTGGACGAATACAGCTATAATTTGAGCTCCGACGTCTGGGACGCTTCAAGCCGAGAACCCTCACCTGACATTTGCCAAACCTCGGTCAACATGTCGTTGCCGAACTGGCTCTTAAGTATTACATAATACTTCAACTTCCTCTGTCACCAACTTGAAGCGCACTGAATCTCTAGGTGATCACCACGACAATAATGACATCCAGCCATCTACAAGCTACGGATATACTTCAGCTGGTCTTTTTTCTAATGGCTTCAGAAACGGCCTGCTTCAGTAAGGCCACTCGATGGATATTACGCGCACTCATCGGAACAGGCTTTTGTAATTGGGGTGTTGACCACGGCATCATGTTAACTGTCCCAAAGCTCGACTTATATACTAAATATCGACCAATTTCCGACTGGCCCTCACTAAAGCCCATCACATTCTCAGATTCCGTACTAGCCACCCATCATGTCATTTGCTGCAGTGGGATCAAGTTTGCGGCTCAGTGCAAGCGAAACACAAGCGCTGAAGTCTCTGCCAATGGCAACACAAGTTGGATACCTGATCATACCAATTCGTTCTATGACTAATATGCATTCAAGATCACTGCAAAAAGGGCTCTACAGGGATCCCCCACAGATCTGGAAAGGCTGGTTGATTATATTTCGGTGTTCAATTCTTCCCGTTATTGTTGCTTGGTACCCATCTTCCACGCGACGCTTGATTCAATTCAAGTACCAAACTACATCAATCCCAAGACTATTCCTGCCATCATGCGTGCAAAGTCGTCTGTCATGGGATTGGTGAAAATCTGCACGGTTACCCCTTCAACTCTTAATGTCAAGGACGATCCCGTGACAAAGTATATTGTGAGGAAGTGGGACGAATTATACCCGTGGATGCGGTTCATCGCTCGAAATTGCCTCCCTCCTCCTTATGATGTCTCAGTTACTCCACGCCCTGATCTTTGCAATGTGTTCGATGCTGCAAAATTGTGCATCACTCCGCTGTCATTAATCTGCACCCAATCGGAAGAAGGGCGTCATTTTCTCCGTTCTTCTATCTCTGTGCAGCACTTTATTGCGCAGTTATGGATATTGATTGGAAACCTTCAGGGAGACGTACTCCAAGGCGATCCTGGAAATTCAACAGACGGCCTTATTTCCATGCTCCGGGCGTCCTTTGCGGTAACAAACCATGTTTGCGTATCCGAATCTGAAGATCCAAACAAAACCACTCTTCCGTTATCGACTTATGTACAAGCTGCCGGAGGGGTGAAGCCCGTTGTTTTCACCCTTCTCAGATACATCCGTCGGATTACCAGAGATGCTGCCGCTATAGAAGAACCTCGATCATGGACGACAGGCGACTGGAGCGTAAAACAACTTCATCTCTACACTGCTGGTCTCCATTATTCCTTCGAGTTTCTCAAGATTATCAGTCGCCAAGATGTTTCATGCCGCGCACAACTTATCCGCCAAGGTTCAATTCGCACGGTAGTGGACGCGATCGCTCAGATGTTGCCTAAGATCTTGGTGCAAGCAAACAAGGAATTAGATTTTGATCCACAGCTGGGACTCGCGGGCAGGCAGAACGTTCTGTGGTCGGGGTACTCCTACGTTGCATCTGCCATTCGCGATGCAGATGACGGGGTAACATGTGTATGCCAGGCAATCAATGCTGGCATCCTCCAAACGTTGGAGAAGGGGGTTATTTGCCCGCCTCACGTCAATCGTCGCGATCACCCATCCCGTGGCCGCTTGGGTGACATAGAGTTGCTCTTTCTCCTCGCCACATTTTTCATGTATGATAGGGTCGTTAAATCAATTGGCCGACACTGGTCTCGCATACAAAATGTTCCTACGGAAAAACGAGAGATACGCGACAAAGGGTTGGGTGTTGCTCTCGAACTTGTCCTGATATCCACTATCGATGCTATGGACCATCGCAGTGTGGAACCTATAAACTTCCATGAATACAGGTGCAGTGGTCCAGGAGTACGCTAATCATCACTAGTTCCATCATATGGGTGCTCATATGTGCGCCAGTGTCCAATGTGCGCATCCAAGTTTGTCAGCAAAAAGCGTCGGTGCGCAGGTTGCTTGGTATCAATCTATTGCTCGCAGAAATGCCAAAGGACTGCTTGGCACAATGGACACAAGAAGTGGTGTCAAGTTCTAAGGTGCACCGTTGGTAAGTCCCTTCAGTCCTCGTCTCATACTTCTCGATCGAATCGCCAACAGGGCCGTGGGGCTCACGCGATATCCGTAAGAGTCTTCAAGTCATTGCAGGCTTCGAAACCAGTGAAATCTCGGGAATGGCCAAAGATGTAGAATCGCGCGTTCGTGAAGCACAGCGGCAGTTCCCTGCATTCAAAGATAAGCTTGTGCTCATGCTAGACATGACTGTGTATCCGCCGGAGGTCCACGTGCTCCCCGTGCACAAGCTTGAGCAGTTTCCTGGGGATGACCCCATATGGCCAGAGATCGCTAACGAGATTCGCCAACGAAGCGACTCGCCACCGAAAGGATATATGTTTTCGGTGGTCAAGGTCCACTTGGGGAAATCGAAGTTCACACTGTTCAGCCCGAGCACGGCATTGCGTATGGCATTTGTGGGCCAGTATTTTTCGGACAATGAGGCATCTGTTGATATTGATGATTCAAAAGTGTTAGGTGACTAGGACTTGGACTATGATTCAGAGTCATTGGACGATGAATACGTGTACGATATCTGACGGTCGTCGTGCTATATGTTTAGTAGCTTTCTTTGATTATGACCTTGCTTTACTCTGTACAGGAAACATGCTTGTGGGCTGATTAAGCCGAGACTTGAATCAATCGACCGGTACTTCACTTGATTCCTGACATTGTATCCAGACGTCTATGGTTCCTAATCTACACGCGATAAAAAAACAAGTACAGAGGCAACATTAACTAGGACTGAATTCCAGCCCGTCCTTCCACGAATTTCAGAACGTCTTCGTCAGAAGGCCGACGTTCTATATCTTTTAACCAACAGCTCTGGATGAAATTACAGTCGCTGTCCCCGACAACAGATACGAGCGGCCTTGTGGGTCTTTTTCCGCATAATATGAAGGTGAGTATGGTTAACGGGTTGTGGATGTAATGGTATAGAACCTTGCCCTCCAATATCTGCAGAGATTTAAGTTGATTCAATATTGATGATTCAGGTTACGTGCCTGCAGCATGATCCCTCCGAAAGAGTATACATCGCTTTTCGAAGAGAATACCGGCGTCGGCTCATCATCTTCATTATCGACTGCCAATCATTCTGGCGCCATGTAGGGCGCGGGTCCTTCGCAATTGGTTGGCACTAATGCTTGACTTCTTCTCTCAGGAACGAGAGCAGAGAGACCGGGATCGGTGAGGCTTGCTTTTCCATCTTTATCAATGACGTCGAGAACGTTATTCTAAGCAAGCTTCAGTTGGGCTTCCACACAACTCATAAATGTGTACGTACGCCGCTCAAGTCACCATGGGTAATTGATCGGGAATGCACTGCCTCAATCTGTGAGTTGACTCTTGCATCAATAACAAAACGTTGAACATACGATACTGAAGCCCTTGAGCTATGTCCTTGAGCTAAAGAGTGCTGAATATGGTAAGATGAGAAATTGACCGAACCAGTGCAAACTTTTTGTTGTAAGAAAGCCTTTCGTGCTCCCGCTGAAGGTATCCAGTCAGCTAACCATGGCGAAACAAGTGCTGGGAGGCAACCAAAGCCATCTGCAACTCCCCAGAGAGGAACGATGTTCTCGTGGTCAAGTTTCAACCATATCTTAATCTCTCGAGTCTGGACAACCGCTAAAGAACTAAGGTCAGCTGAATGAAGGTGGAATCCATGGTTACTGACATTGATAATCGTCAACGTGTCTGTATCGCCTCTCAAAATTATTTCCTTGACTGCAACCTAGATTGCTATAAGAAAGGCAGAACGAAATGACGGACAAGATACCAACACAACTTGACCTGGAAGAAGACTGGTAGCAGGATTTCATTGCTTACCTATTGGAGGTTGGTAGTGTAAATGCCAAACATTGCGCAGCAGTGATGCATTGATGGCTCTATGATATCAAACGGTATGCAGAGTGCAAAACACGGTGTGCGTTTGAACTGTGACATACTGTTGTCAAACCTTTTAGCGACTCTGCCATAAAAATACGTTGGCAATTACATCTAAAACAGTACTAGTCTCGTGCCGAGTGTGCAATATATAATAGCCAGCTTACGCTTACCGAAATTGCACATTCAAAAAACAGACGGTCGAAAGACTTACGGAGTATTAGTGACTTCTGGTCCTACCGTGCCAGACATTGCTCCCGATGTTGCGACCATGAATAGTTGAGGCAGACCATTGAATTTTGATTCACCTACCAGTTGAACTAATCCACGAGTTTCTGGCAGTTTGCAAACCTGTGCACGCCAATTGGAAACACCACTTTCCTCCATAAAATAAAGCATGACAATTTGATAACCTATAGTAGAATTCTGTTGATGCCGACAACCGTCCGCTAAATACTAAGGCGGCAAGATTATGTCCTTCTCAGCTTTCCCTCGGTTCACTAATGGGGGATCCCTGGGCCGCACATGAAAAAGGACTGCCATGCTGGTGAGTTATTTGGTTAAACAAACCCTACTCATACTCACACAGAACGGCTCGTCAGGGCAATGGCAGTGGCTAGAAGAAAGGCACCAGAAAGGGCAGCCCTCACTGGCAGCGGCAGTGGCAGATATTAAAGTAGCGACAACGGCGAGGGCGAAGGCGAAACGCATTGTTCGTGAGGATGTGATACTAGTATGAGGCTATGAGCTCAGATAAATGTGAAGGGGAATTAGGAAGATGCCTTGCCTTTAGTACGTGCTGTATACCGTTCTTTGTGTAGGATGATGAAGTCCACCTGAAATCCTCCTTCGAACTGATATACCTCGTGAAGCAAGGTTTATTTGAAATTTTGTGCGGAAAGGATATCACCTTGCGAAGCAAGATTAATGCTGGCAAGCATATCGCCACCTAATGATATCTATCTTGTGAATCAACATTTACCGGCAATTTGGAGTGGAACAAAGTATCATACTATCATCTTGTTTTGCGAAGCCAATGAGACAACCGAAGTTCAGGTATTAGTATATAGGCACCATCATGATGATGGAAAAGTTCTGTCATCACTCACCGCAATTCAGACTTTTGATCAACTGAATCTAAGGTTCAGATCTATGTTTGATGCTTCCAAGTACTATCTCGAACGTGTTCGCGTTATTTTATATGACTGGTGGTGACCAAGCGCAATATCTCAATAATTTCCCATTGCTCATCAAGATCTGCTGGCTTGCGAAGCTTATTATGCTTGAGATCTCGACTTGAAGCTTAATTGTCCGATGGCTACCGTCACACTGGTGTAGCTACAGTGACTCTTAGATCTAATCAGCATTGAGAGAAGAATGACGACGTACTAAATGTGCATTCGATGAGACGAACTGGAATTGGCTAAAATGTTTGAATTTGAAAAGCACTACATATAATATCGCGTCACGTCATTGCATATAAAGCGCAATGATTTCCCACAGTCCTGGTCCATCCAGATAGGTTGCCCACTTAGTTTCTTGTCTCTGCAGGTCTTAGGCTCATCTGTTAACTGTTCATCGACTCGGCTCATGCTTACATTGGTCTGCGGTGGCTTCGGTCATTAAATATTAAGCATTGGTATGTGACGTAGTCTTTACTTTGAAATATACAATTCACTTAGTCGTCTTATCGATGCTCCCAGATTAGTTTCCATGTGTAGCTGGTAATGCTGTCAATGCTCATATGGACTCGCTTGTCTTAAAACATAACGCTAAGGGTAACACGACTTAGTCTAAAACTTAATCGCTGCCATCATAGGTTCAAACGGAAAGATAGATGGGTATAGTTTGAGTTTTGCTGCCAGATATCAGGTACGTGCGTCGTCGCACTTTCACTGTTTTTTCTACTAAATCGAGTCGAGTCGCCATGTTACGCCCACCGCCACCATGACTCATCACCTTTTCTACTCTGCTCATCGACCTCATGACCCCACTTTGATTCTATGTGCAGACACGCTGTACGCGCTTTTCCCCTCATGAATTGCGGATGCCGTTCAGGGTTCGATCGCCGAACCGAATGTGAACCGAACGCAACGTTCGGTTCAGTGGTCCAACTCCAACTTCAAGCCATAACTCATCCTCAAGGTTTATGCACATGGAGGACAAGCGTCGTGAATGTGGTGAGATCCAGATCTAGATAAGCATGTCAGCGCTTTGGGGCCTACACAAATTCGGACATTCATCAACAATCAATATCAAAAGCATGTGGAATTTGTTTCGAATGCGCTGCGTCAATACTGCGTCACGACCACCTGGCCGCCCATAATATAGGCTCCACATCTCGATTTCCTGTTGTTGCCCGTGTTTACTGATTTTGTGATGGGCGCATCACATGCATTGTGCCTTCAAGGACCTTTACCTCGCACCGTCCCTGATCAGTGATGGGCCCAACGACATGGCCCTAGTTCTTATACTAGTGACCCTTCATCTCCTGCAAGCGTATCGTCAAAGAAAACGAATAATGCGCATACGAGGACCTCAGCTCAAGTTGGTTGTTTGGCTTCGCCGATACGATGAATTCTGCTTCTATTATCTCTAAACTGTACGAACATTGGGCCAGAGAGTACGGACCAGTGTACAAGGTGCGCCACGTCTTGAAACTGTCCAGAGTCGTGCTATGGGACCTGAAGATCTCGCATTTCTTTGCACGAGATGTGCCAGACTTCGTTCAACAAGATTCCTGCTCGAACGACAGGATGTCCCTTACTTCCTTGTACAGCCATAATATGATGGTGCGCTTCTGCGACTGACAGGTCAGAAGCTAATGTGGAAAGGGAAGAAAAGCAAAATGCTTATAAGGCTCCGAAATTGATGCTATGCCGTTATACTGGTCTAAGAGTCTCAAGGTACATAGTAGTATAGCGTTGTGTTAAGATTTGTGCTGCAGTGTAAAATCGTTCATCATATATCGGATAAGTCCATTAGTATCTAATAATCAAATTCATAGACAGGCCCAGCCTTTAAAATTCAAAGCGCGAACACATACAACAAGTTACGTTTCTGCTGATCAGAGGCGAGTGGGCCCGGTAAAATAAAAGCTACGCGTTATGAGCAAATATTTATGACTGAATTCCCTCACCGTACATACATCCAAAGTCACTTCATTTTCGTAGAGATAAAATGGCCGGCGGGAACGGCGGACTAGTGGGTACGCCTCACGGAATGAGGTCCTTAGACTAAATAGCACTGTCCTGCATAGAGTGGTGCGCTAAAAACGGATACAAAAAAGGAGCTACTGACGAACTCGAAGATGCCAACAAAAGAGCCATGAAATCTTCGACATGGAGCTAGAAACTTATGATGATCCGATTCAGATACTATGGTGAAACTGGCAGTGCTGCATCTGATCTATGAAGTGCTTAATCATTGTACATCGATCTACTGTTTTGTGCCAATCCATCGTCGTTGGCTTCCCGCTAAGATTCGGTTCTAGACTTTTGGTTCCGACACGATCGGTCCCTCGCTATTCGATCAGGCAACCGCAACTCGTCTCAATCTTTATTCGCCTTCGCACTCAGCAATTACCCGCACAGGGGGACCCTGCGGAGCATACGAAGAAGGACTGCCATGCCGATGAGTTATTTTGTTAAAATACAAACTGCTCGTACTCACACAATAATGGTTACCGTTGGAACAGCCTTTGCACTCCTTACTTAAAAAGCAGAGCCAAGGACAGCCCTCACTGGCGGCGTGAGTGGCAGATGTTAAAGCAGTGACAACGGCGAGGACAAAGACGAAACGCATTGTTTGTGAGGATGTGATACTGGTATGAGCTCAGATAAATCTGGAAGGAAAAGTAGGAAGACACGTTACCTTTACAGGCCGCATGAACTATTCTTTATGTAGGACAGCTAAGTCCACCTGGAATCCTCTTTCGAACTGATGTACTTGCAATTCCGGACAATTGCCACCTACCTTGCAAAGCAAGGTCTGTTTGCAATTTGGGGGAACAATATATCACCATCCGAAGCAAGGTCAGTGTCATATGGCCACCAGATAAGATCTATCTTGATGTCTACCGGAAATTTGGTGTGGAATAAGATATCACCCCGCGAAGCCAACTCGCAACAAGGGCTGATGAGCTAAGTTCAACGAGCTACATGCAATGATGACCCTCACTCACCGGAATCGGACTTTTGATGAACTGAATTGATGATTCAGGTTTATGTTTGATGCTCTCAATTGAGCTCTCAAAAGCTTAAGAGCTTGAAAGTTTGAACATTTGAAAGTACTATCTCGATCGTGCTCAAGTTCGCGTCACCGCGTCATTACTACATGACCGGTGACTACGGGCAATATCTCAATGATTTCCCATGGTCTGGGGCCTATCCAGATCTGTTGGTTTGCAGAGCTCAAGCTCGAACGTTTGAACATTTTAAAGTACTCACTACTGGTATTTCGAACGTGTTTGCGTCACTGTCGTTGCATGACCAGGTGACCGGTGACCAAGTGCAATATCCCAATGATTTCCCCATCGTCCATCCAAATCCATTTGTTTGCAGAGCTTAAGCATGAATGTTCGAACGTTCGAAAGGTGACCGGTGACTTACCACTAGTATCTCGAACGTGTTCATGTTCGCGTCACTGTGTCATTACATGACCGGTGATCGCAATATCTCAATGATTTCCCAAATTCCCATGGTCCAGATCTGCTGCCGTCAAAAAAGGAGGACATCCAGGAAATGGACACTCTGGGGCCAAAATCTGCGGCGGACTCTGGGGCCAAACTCTGGGGCATCTGTTTGTTTCAATCGGAGTTTCAACATCGTGCGCCTGACATACCACGTGATCACAGCCACCCCGCCGTCAGCCACACCGATGCGATCTCTGTCAGCCACTACCACTGTACCACAGCCACCCCGCCATTATTACCACACCGACGCGATCTCTGTCAGCCACCGCTGTCAATATCAGCCATGATGCCACCTGACCCGGATATCAGCAACCTGTTGACCTCACTCCAAGGGCATCCAACACTCGCCCATATCTCATTTGTTGCTGCAGTGAAGACATGATGAGGCGGGCACAGGCGTGCAGGAAGAGGGGCGGGAGGGCGGGCGGGAAACACAGGAAGGGGCAGATAAGAGACGGGTAGCGGGCATGGCATTGTCATAAGGTAGACTTGGGGCGGAGCATGAATGCAGTATTCCAACGACAGCTGCACACTGGCAGGCAGCGGCGAGCAGGCGGGAGACGCTGATCAGCAATGAGCGGGCTGGGCCTTGTCATCAAACGGTGTTTAAACTCAGCTGTACTCTGCCGGACTTGCCGATGGGCCCCAGAGTCAGGCCCCAGAGTCTGCCCCAGATTTTGGCCCCAGAGTGTCCAACTCCCTGACATTCTGCAAAAAAGTTCCAAATTTGAACTTACCTTGTGTAGACGGTTTCCCACGCCATAATAACCGTACCACACCAACTTGAAATCATTCATGCACAATGTCAAGGTGACTGACCTAGCCTTGCAGTACATTATACCTGTCGAACTCATTAACTAATGGACATCTGCGCAGACTCCAGAGAACTCGATATTCCATGCGAACGTGTCAGTGACCTTGCACGGTCTGGTTTGTCGTGTTGTGACAGAAAGATGTAGCAGAACTGGCCATAATTCAATTGCTCACAAGGAATATGCATCAATTTGGACTTGGATGGCTGGGAGTGTTGTTGCGCGCCATACAGTGCACAGGAACGAGACGGAACGAACCGAGCCGAGGGCCACTAGCATGCAGTGTAAAGACAGGCACTCATGAATACAGCATGCAAAATCACCTTCGTCTCTTCTACCCTTGACCATTGATTTTGCTCATTATCGAGCTTAGCCTCTACCTATCGTCCGACCGTCCGGAAGCACAGAGGCCTTTCTCGATCAGAGTCATGCCCAGCGAAGTGGAGGAGTTAAACCCAGCAGCAAGACGGAAAGAAGTGCAACAAGAAGCGCTGTTGAACTCACCAGTACATGTTGCACCTTTTCGGATGAGCACGAAGGATATACCACCCTATGGTGCACAGCACCGTCAGGATGCACTCTGGAAAGGTGAGCAACCACGTCGCAGTGACATCCAATGGCTTACTGACTGTGCAAGAGGCGGGAATGGAGCCCTCCCTCCTCTATGGCATCAGTTCAAGGTGTTAGACAAAACTCGATATCAAGATAACGAGCTCACTATGGTTTCAGTGAACCGACCTTTGCCAGGAGTGCGACTAGGTGAGCGAAAAAAGTGCACCTGGGAGCGACAAGTTTATGGCATAACATAGATGATCCTGGAGATCTCGTTTATCCCGGATGTGAATGGCACATCTCACCACTCGGTCGGTCCTACTTCGTCGATCACAATACTTGGACCACGTCTTGGGAGAAACCAAAGCTAGAACGTCCAGCAGGGAGCTTGAAGCCGGAGCGCATCATCGAGGGTCACTCTCGATGCATATGGAGCCTTGCCTACCTGGGCACCAGTGGCAATATAATGAGCACGTCTGAAGATAGTTCAATTCGTCAATGGAAAGGAACTGGAGAGCCAGTGGGAAAGCCTTGGTATGGTGATGGAGGAGGGATAGGCTCGATGGCAATATCCCCGGATGAAATGATGGTCGTTTGTGGAAGTGCAGACGGTTCACTACAGCTGTGTAATATAAAGGAGGGCGGTATGGTCGGTGACCCATGGGAAGGGCATGATGATGTAGTGAGGTGCCTCGATTGGTCTCGTAATGCCCTGGAGATAGCAAGTGGATCTGAAGACGGCACCATACGACGCTGGAACCCGAATACTGGTCGACAAATAGCGCCACCGATGGAGACCAGTCATGGATGGGTTATCGCCGTCAAATACTCTCCACATGGCGACAAGTTCATGAGCAGCGGCGCAGACGGTGTGATTTGTGTATGGTCCAAGGACGGCAAGTTGCTCGTCGAGATCAAGGGACATGACTCGGACAAGGGAGTGACCTCATTGTGTTGGTCCAAGGACGGCGCACACATATTCTCCGGGTCAGGCGATCATACTATCCGAAAATGGCGGTTAATTGACGGGAAGAAACTTGCTGTTTTCCGGAGTCACACCAACCCCATCAAATCCATCTGTCTTACGCCCAACGAAAACTATATTGTTAGCGCATCAAATGACTGCTCCATTCGCATCTGGGACCTCAAAACCAATCAGTTAGTCGGAGATCCACTCTTGCATGATGACCAAGTTTTCGCGGTTGCTATATCCTCCGACGGAAAATACATTGCCAGTGCTGGATCAGACAAAAAAATCTATGTATGGAACCTCGAGGCGGCGCTCAAAGTTGTGGTACATATGTGCTTTGATGTTTCAATGTCTTTCTAATGGTTTTGATCGTTTACTAGGATGCAGGTGATGCGAATGCAAGGCTTAAGGCAAGTGTTCTCTGCTTTTCTTTCACACTTCAACTGACTTTTCACTAGGGACGTCCAGCACGACCAAGAGATGTGCGCCAACCAATCGTAAGCAACCTCATATTTGCTCATATATTCCTTAATTCCCGTATGTACTTCAAATAACAGGCCAAGACCAGAGGCTCAGCGAGATATGTCAGTAGAATTTTCGTTCTTCAACTCTTGCTTCACTGATTTTCGAAACAGGGCAATGATTTTTTCGGCGACGAGTCAGATAGTGTGCCCCGTCGTGCAGCTCAACGTGCGGGTCCATCGTCTCTCATTCGTTGGCGCCGTTTGTTTGGTTCCCTTCACTTCGGTGCTCGCCTTCCAGACGCGCCCCGGCCATCACCTCGGGAATCTCGGCATTTGAATTTCAGCTTGCATCCTGTAAGAAACTCAAGCCGCACCGTAGATGTAGCTCCTGCTCGTGATGAAGATGTAAGTGACTCGTCGTCGTTCCAATTTTGTTGCATTAAAAACATTGCAGAGATATGGTATTGTCCCTGAAACTGATGCGGAAGCAGCTGCAGCTATGCAACGTACGAACAGCAATCAGGCCAACGGTTCAACGCAACAAGGTCAACTCGCAGTAGAGGCAGAAGGATCTCAAGCACGATCAACAGAAACACAACAGTCAACTGTTAGGACGGGAGAAGTTTCCTATGAAGTTACCTGTTGTGGATTTTTCTTTTGGTCGTTGTTCTACTTCGCGTCAGTCATGAAACTCTGTTTTCAATCATCTCTCTTCCCTTTCATCTGTGTTCATACATCGTGTATCTTATCCATGGCTCGTTCCGCCCCATGTACGTGCGCACACCATTATTATATTTGTCTAAATAACGCTATGCTATCATCAAATAAGGGACCCCATGATTGAAGCAAGCATGAAGGTGTTGCTATATACGTATGATGTGAGAACAGGGTCTCACATCAAAATCGATATTCACCATGCTCTCGAGATGCAGTCTCCTGTTTCTTACCTGTGCCTTTTGACTGCAAGATAAGGATATCTTCAGGCCTGCCAATTGAACGCACCCAGTGACTGTTATCCGTACAAACAAGTACAAGCTGGTATTTGCGACTCCGGTGAAGTCTACCAAGGTTAAAGAAATCATTTTGCATGTCTCCGAGCCCAACTTGAACTACCTTGACTTCACTTGCGAAGCACGATAATTCACTCTACAAGGTCACTGAGAACAAACGGTTCACTTCGGCTGGTACTAAGCTGTAAGTGAAGCAAACCTTGTTCCAATTTTCGAATGTCTGAATCGGCGAATCAGTGTTTCGTAGCTTCGTCACCGAACATCGGGATTGCCGAGTCCGAAGCTATCTCGGCAACATGGTTCATGAAGATGACACGTCGTTCTTCATCTAGCTCGAGAGCACAAGCGAATATACTCTTGTTGTTGCAATGTATCCTGTGCAAGGTGTGGAGAAGACTTGATACGGTATGTACCACAACGTGACCGTAACTCACGCTGTAGCTCGTCCAGGTACATGGCGGGATTTCGTCGAAGGAGAGCAGTGAGAAAGGTAATGTCCTCGATACTGAAGTTGCGACGCAATGTCCATGGTTTGCCTTGAGATGCAATGCTGGCACCGGTACGAGCCAGCCGGATAGTTCTGTACATGGGTGTCTTCTCTAGTAGATGGCAGACACTTGCGACGGAAAATAGTGCAACAAAACAGCAGAAGAAATAAAAACAAACAAGAGGTGTAATAGTATGTGGTGGGTATATGTGCCAAGTGGCGGACGGGCCTAGGACGTAGACAACTAGAGGAGTGGCAGGCAGCGATGGCAACTCCGCTTGGAAGCAGCCGCCGAAGCCCCTGAGTAGCGCCTAAGTGACTCGGTTATTCCCGATCGGCGGCGCAGCTCATGTTGCAAAAGTTTCTTCTGATTATGTCTTTCATCATATCGGTCCGTTCTCTGCAGGTTCCGCAGTTTCCTCTGTATTTTATTTTTGACTAGGCAGTGCTCACTGGATGGAATGGATGTAAACCTTTTTCTTGAGAACGGGTTGAGCACGGGTGAACTCGCGGGTCGAGGTGAATAGTATTCTGCATTCACAACCCATTGACCTTTTAACTCGTACAGAACATGGGTACCATTCTGTCCGAGCTCATGGAATATCATCCCACTGGCAAATCAGCATAGCTGGTGGCGTCGATTAAGTTCTTTATGAGTAATGAAATTTTGACCCTTGCACCCTCGGACAAGTTGGGGATCCATACCGTACCCATACCCGCCACACCCGTCAGCGATGAACCGCGGGTTTACCCATACCCGTTCTCTGCCCTATCGGCTTGGCATCAGAGAATTCAAGAGTCCGGGTCTCCCTAGGGTCCTTTACGCTGATTGCGGTGATTTTCCGGCGTCATACATGAGTCGTAGGTGCGTCTGGCCTCCAAAAACTCCCGAAACACGTTCCATTGCGAACGGGATTCTGGTGTTCCATGTTATCATGATAGATAAAAAAAGTACGTGATTCGACCGATGATGGCTTCTCATGACATGTTCCCGTTCCACCTGATTTCACACAACAGTTGCTGCCACAGTCAATCAAGGTGGAGCGTCTACCATCCAGCCTGATCATTATAAAAGTTCTGGATAATGCACACCTGCACGAACGCCATCATTCACCAAGCCCCCCGATCCCAACATGACCTATGTTTCGAACGATCCCTCTTATTGGCCGTATCTTGAGTGGAGTCGTAGATACAACTATTTTATAGGTTCGTCTCATGATGTTAGTGATATCTCGCTGCCATTGAGCGTGGTTTCGCAGTTGCGTCCTTGACCATGGTAATATACGACTGGGGTGAGTAAGATAATACTTTCGAAGGGGACCGTTGATCTAGACTTGTTTTCAAGTACTTACGCTTGCACAAGAGGCAAGTTGGTGCCATTCTCAGTGCAGCCATCTTACTAAAAATGATTTAACAGTTCGAACTGATATGGGTGAGTAAAGTACTATATCGGAAACACGCAGGGTAATGCAATTAATTTTGGGCAGAGGCAACGCTACTCCCTCATGAATGTTCTTTATGTTTGCGTACGTGTTTGATATTATAACCGCAGTTACCAAGTTGTGCTGACTTCACTATATGCTAGGTTCGCTACATCGGAATACTATTTTCAATGTATGTTTCCAATGCTAGCTAAAAATAATGCACTATGTTAATGAGCCATATTTTGCAACCAGCGTCTACATACTGTGTATGTGTGCTCATAGTATACGTTCGTTTATTTTGACTGATGGCATGCAGTGGACTTCCAAATCTCTATTACAGATGCAGTGGGTATTCTTCGCCGATGTCTGCTATTCCCATTCAACTACTAATTACGCTTCTAGGGGTGAGTGATATCTCGCCAGCTTTTTTTCTTCGAGTTGAAGACTTTGACAGCTGTGAGTTGATTCAAAGTATTTATTTAAACAATGCGCACTGATGACTGGGTTTTCAGGCAACATTTTGTGGTTCGTGCTGGCATGGACGTCTCTGATAATTAATTCCATGCTGGGAGGTGAGCGTGGCCCCTAGTCACTAGTGATATTAACCTGACTGAAATTTTTGCAAGTCATCATGGCAACTCGGATACATGCTATGTACCAGGGATCCAAAAGGATACTCGTATTTCTCATTGTGGTCTTACTGGCTTGTACGATTGCCTCCGTGGTTATGACGGTGATAGGGAATATCGGTGTTTCAGGAGGTAAGCTTAAATTATGAATAAAAACCTCGGAACTCATGCACAAATATTAGTGGAGACGATCCTTTCTGGCAACTATCAGTGTTCCGAAAATATGAACACAGAGGATAAACGTCTGAATGCCGAGACTACGGTACCCACCACTGTATGGGAGATCCTTGCCTTGTGTCTTGCGGTCTGGATTGTTATCAAACACTTCCGTGAACTGCAAAAATCACCGACAGGGGCGAACGTTAGAGACTGTTTCACAGTTTTAATGAGGAATCATATGCTGTACTTTATAACGTGAGTTCAAGTGGTTTTGATGTTATTACCTCACTGAAGTTCTGGAATGATGTGCTAGCTTTGCCACTGTGTCTTGCTTCAATCTCGGCACACTGTCTTCAAATATATCGGTACGCTGATTGCTCACTATCACCTGCATACAGCTCATCATTTCTCAAGTCTCTCTCTGCGGGAACCAGTTTTTATTACGGTATTGGCGAAGTCGCACAGGCCATGCAGATGTTTGTGCTGGGACCACGTCTCATCCTTAGCCTTCGAGCATATCACGCTCGGCTCGTGGCGAACTCTGATGAAGGAACTTGCATCACTACGATGGATTTCAATTTCCATAAACACGCATCAACTAGCGATAATGTGTGACATGGGAGAGGATTCAAATGATCAACCACGGATACTGTACACCGACATGTAAAAGCTTGTCGTGTAATCCAGCTCATTGTAGTATACTTATATCTATTTGTTTGATATTTTGAAGTTTGGACTGTGAAGGATATAATTTGGTTTGGGGCAAATGAAACAATAAATATGAATATGATTCGTCAATTCTCTGGAGTGTTCAGCTTCACTCAGCAGCTGGTGGGTCAAAACGATTAGGAGAGGCAGGTACGGTCCTCATAACAAGGAAACTGGGTCTGAAAGACCGTGGGAACGGGAAGAAAGATATCTTCCTCAAGCTCAAGGTTCAAACTTCAAACGTTCACATCGAGTCTTCCAGAATATTTCGATCCTAGGATATCCGACCGTCCGACCCTTTCCAACATCCGCCCCAGATATGACTCAGCGTGCCAGCCACCATCATCTACAAACAAACAACACCAAGCACGCCACCTTGAACTTTACATCACCCTTTCCCCGCCCCCCGCCCTTTGTGTCTCTTTCCCCGCCCTCGCCGGCGCCCTCTGTGTCATGGTCAATGTTGAAGATGAGCCAGTAGGGAGCTGATGCGCTGATGATGCAGTAACTGCAGCACCTCAAGGCCTCAAGGGCTGATGGTATTGGCGTAGTCATTGAGTGCGGTGCAGGGAGGTAAGCATGTGGCGGCGCTGTTGAGTAGCGGCTTGGCCAAATGTAGTAATATCCCCGACGTGCGCAGAGGTGAGGACGTGTGGGAAACAGTAAGCTTAATACATAATTATATTTTAACATTGAATGTAGTATATTATGTATGCGTGGGAACGATGATTATTATACTGGCGCGGATGCGGTCGGACGGTCGGATGAGGTCGGACGGTCGGATATCCCAGGATCGAGATGTCCTCGAGTCTTCAATTATAAATGCATAAAACATGGCCGAAATACATGATCAGTTTGATACCATCCTTATTCTTGACTTCGGTTCGTGGGTTCTGGATATGCCATGTTCTGATTCAAATCCATGAGTGCAGTCTCATGACAAGGAGATGTTGCGAGTTGAACGTATGCTCAGAGCTTATGCCGTGTACACCAACGCTAACAAATCTAAAGTTCAAGCTTAAAGGTTCGCTCATGTGATGCAGCAGGAAACGCGTTTCTAACACAAACTCTAGGAATCATACTCTCTTAGTTCTCCTTTGCATCTGCTATGGCCTCCAAGTCTTGTTTTCTTGAATATCTCGATGGATACTAGCTCACGCGAGATCCAGGAGATTTGCTGGAATCACAAGGGTCCTGTAGCAAAATACGATCATCGCGAAAATGGGCTGCAGAGGTTCAGATTAGCAGGTTCAACGAATCGGGGAAACTCTGTCGATGCTTTGTTTGAAGATCGGATGCAGGTGCTTTTTTTGTTTTGTTCGTCATAAGTCAAGTTGACCTTTTATAAGCTTTGGATGTCACGGCGATCAACTGTCTCTCATACCTCTTGATTTCTATGTCATTGGATGGATGAGCACCACTCCCTACGCCGCCATTCATAACCCCAAGCCGTTCTATGACATTCAGTTCCATCCAGAGGTTACACATTCCCATCAAGGAAGATAGCTTATTGGTCGATTTGTGTCGAATATATGCCAATGCCGAGCACGTTGGACAATGGTGAAGCAATTACTGTGTTGCATTATTGTCATGCTCACTGCGATTGCAGGAGGAATTCATTGGCAAATAAATCGTCCGCATCCGCGAGATATGCAGTCAGAAAGGCTGTGTGATTGGCGCGGTCAGCGGAGGTGTCGACAGAACCGTCGCAGCCAAGTTAATACTTGAGGCAATCGGCGACAGGTGTGCCCTCATATCATTTTTATGATTTATGTCTTACTCGCGCACCAGGTTCCACGCCATGGCATGCCTCGTCTGAATGAAGCATGACAAGTTGACCAAAGATTTGGGGGTCAAACTGACCGTAGTGGATACTTCTGAGCTCTTCCTCTCCCGACTTGATGGTATCGAGGATCCAGAGCAGAAATGCAAGACCATACTTTCATCCTCGTCTTCGAGACAGAAGCGGCGAAGACCGAGGAAGCTGCTGAGAAGGAAGAGAATGGAGCGAAGGAAAAGGGCAAGATCGAATGGCTATTGCAAGGAACCCTATACCCAGATGTCATCGAGAACATTAACTTTGAGGGCCCTAGCGCGATCATAAAGACGCACCACGATGTCGGTGGACTTCTCAAGGCCATGAAATTGAAGTTGATCGAACTTTTACACGAGCTCTTCAAAGGTCTGGTTAATGGAATCCTATATTGCCGATTGCACTTACTGTTCTGTGTAGATGAAGTCCGCGCACTCGAGACTCCTGTTGATATTGGCACCTTCAGTCCCTTTTCCAAGTCCTGGTCTGACTATTCGGATTTTTGGTCTCGTCACACGCGAACAAGTGAAGATCTTGCAACAAGCGGATCATATCTATATCGAGGAGTTTCGCAAAGCAAATCCCCAATCAAATTAGCCAGGCCATGGTCATCTTACTCCTATGAAGGCTGCTGGCATGATGGGGGACAAGCGCACATACGAACAGGTTCGGAGGACAGTATTCTCTCTTGTTTGCTGCTTCAACGTATTTCACAGGTAATTACTCTCAGACCGCCGGTGACGTTGAAAGACTTCATGACTGCGGATTGGTGGGCTTTTTGGTCCTGTTCAATGCTAACTTGATTTTTCAGGTATGCGTTCCCTCCCGAAGTCTCACATCGGGTATTGTCCCGCATCACAAACGAAGTGAATTCAATCGCGTCACTTATGATATATCTTCGAAGCCTTCTACTGTACGTCATGTCGCTTCGTTTCACCAGAGTCAAGATTGATCTCATTGTTGGACTGTGGGGTAGCTATGATTGTCGACGACATGCCATGAACACGCAAAACAATACATACAATAGGCCGCTACATACTTAGCAGGTCGATGTAGGCCAATGTCATCAAGATGCGAGGGGGACCTTTGAGAGATTGCCACATTGTGGACTATACTACGTAGTCACTTTGAATACAACTTGAACTCACCTCTACACTAGTTACTTGTTGTTATGTTCCCGGTGCCTGTCAGTGAATCCTGTCCTCGCTACGGTCTCTGTTCCGCCTGCCCTTACATCGATATCTTTTGACGCTACGTAACTATCTTTAGACCACTTACTAAGGGTGAGTTCGGTGTTATTAAAGCTAATGCTGATGACGGTCGCTGAGCACGGCGAGTTCCATCACGAAAAGATTTCATCAATGCTTCAAATGTCAATTCAGGTTCAGAAAACACCCAGAGGCGCCGCGGGAATGATGTACTTCGGTTCTATTTAAAGTTTCTGATACTACTTCTCATTCTACTTGGTTTCATCTGACAACAGCCACATGCTGTGGTCAACCGGTCATGCCCAGTGAAAATCGACAAGAATGAGGTAGATATGTAACGATAGACATATATAAAAAATAAGGATATCAATTCTATCGACCCATTTCGAGGTATATCCCTAAATTGTGACTTTTCGAGACGCAAAAAGATAGAGATCGAGACGAGTTTTTAACGTTTAGATAGGATTCTCGATGGCATTAGATCTTTAGATAGACATTTACATGCACATTATTACTCGATTTGGCTTGAAAAACATATCGATATAGAACTAATGCGAACAAATGAAGCTATCTATGGGTATCGCTAGAGTTAGGATAGTATCGCTGGAGTTAGCGTAGGGTATCGCTGCTCGCTGCGCCAGGCGCCTCGCCCACCATCCCGCTATCCACTACTCCTCGTCCACGTCGTTGCCGGTAGTACTGACTCCGCTGGCGGCTGATTTGAGCTACAAAACGGGACCGTTAGTGTGATACTATGAGATAGAATATGACATGTGGCGCTCACCTGAGCAGCTGCTTTGCACTTGTACACCTATAATAGTAGACAGTATTAGATAGATATCAATATGAGAAAAAGACGCACCTCTTTGTCGGCTTTAGACAGCCCATTCCAGTAAAAGGCGAAGACACTTGCTGGTTCCTTTTGATGGCCGTTTGATTGCCAGTCGAGAGCACACAAGTTCTTGTATGATACGAATCATAGAATTAGTTTTGATTGGTATGATAATAAAAGAACAACTTACCGCGCAGTAACCTTCGGACAACACCTCGGTGATATCAGAGTTGATTTTGGATGTAGAGGTGTTGGAGGGAGGAGCGGAAATTTTCTTTTGAATCGGAGTGCTACGTCATGGCATGATGGGGAAGTGGGTGACGCTAGCTGTATATCAATGATGTTAGTAGGGAGAAGCAAAGAGGCACAAAACATACTATTAGGCACGATGAAACTCACCTGCGCTGTGGCCTTTCATTTGTATTCCTAGTGTACTGCATTAGCGCGGGAGGTTTTCACTGACGTAGCACGTACCTCCTTGATACTGGTAGACAGGTTTTAACAGGCAGAAAGAAATGCAAATTCTTGCCGAGACAGATCCGTCTGTGTGACATCGAGGAGCGAAAGCGGCTCGTCGCGCATGAGAAAGGCTGACTTAAAGGGTTCATCAAATTCTTGTGTCTTGTGGCACGCGAGATGGAGCCAAGTATTGTCTCGCAATGTGCCCAGTGCTCTCAATTTGGATCAACGCTCATTATCTTGGAGAAGGAAACAGTGGGGGAGGGGGCAAACGTCTTCGCACCAATTCCAGCTCAGGCTCCACAACATCCAATGTGAACGAGGCACCAGCTGAGCAATCCCGGCCAATGGCAACGAAGGGACCGACGGGGACTTGTCGTGACTTGCGCGAGCCTTGATCAGCGCGGTAATGGATGGCGTGCATGAAGAGATATACAGTGGGCTCGTGGTTGTCATGTTGTAGTCTGCGAGAGATATAGTTTCGGGCAGCCTGGCTTAGTAGTAACTTGAAATGCGAGGGAATGATTGTATCGAGCCGGACGGTCGTGGCGGGGACAAATGACATGGTGAGCGGATGAGAAGATGCGCACGGTTCAACCAGTGCATTGACTCATAATAAACATAACACACATACATGGCTAAGTTACAAATACGCACATGCATATGCATGCTGCATTGAACGTCTGTATATGCAAAGTTTGCCGAAAGTTCGTTGCGTAGTTGCAAATTACACGATCGAAGTCTGACAATGTTTGCATTTTTTTCCTTTGCGAAGATTGTTTGCGTTTTGCACAAAATTAGAGTTTTGCGGTCTCGAATTTCTTAGATTTGTATCTACCTCAATTTGTGGTTAGACATCTATCTACGCGTATCTACCTCATTCTTGTCGATTTTCACTGGGGGTCATGGCCCATCAATCAGGATTCCACTTATTCAAGTAACCGAAATCTAGTTTCATCACTACAATTAAAGTACAGGATGATTGCGTACTTTGTGCACACGCCCACTCTACACGTTTACTAAGTACGCCGACTCCAACATGACCTTTGTATCAAATGATCCAGCTTTGTGGCCGACAATCGACGGGGAACGTGTTATGAGCTATTTCATGGGTTCGTGGAATGAAGAGCAAGCCAGACGACATTCATCTCACTCTATCTTTGACTCTGGTTTCACAGTTGCATCCTCTACTGCAGTGGTATATGATTTGGGTGAGCGAGCTACTAGTACTTACCGCGGCAGTCATTGATATTCACATGGTACTCAAGCACTGACATTTGCACAAGAGGTAAGTCGACGTCATTACTGGCGCAACCATCTCACTAAGAATCCTTCAACAGTTCGAATTGGTCTGGGTGAGTAGTCCACACGACTCATAAGCACAACACGATCTGACAGTTAGTTTGGGGCAGAGGCAACGTTCGTCTCTCATGAATGTCCTATATATCAGTGTGCGTAGATGGTGTCATAAGCGCAGTTGGAAAGCTGCACTGACTTCAAAATGTGTTAGGTTCGCTATGGTGGAATACCACTCTACGTGTATGTTCGCAATTCTAGCAATTTGGCAATACACCGTGCTAATAAGTGATTTTTCTTGTAATCAGTGGCATCGTACTGTGTATGTATCCTCACCCGCCTTGTGTTCATTTCCTATAACCGGTGCCATGTAGCAAATATCGCGCCAGGCTCGGTGACAGATGTAGTGCGTATCCTGCATCTATTTTTGTGATGATTCCAATCCAACCACTAACTGTTCTCATACATAAGGGGTGAGTGATATTCTCGACCAGCTTGTTTGTCCATAACAACCTCAACAAGCTGTGAGTTCATGTGAATATCGAGTTCATTAACGCGCATAATTGACTAGAGTTCTTCAGGCGCTGCCCTTCACTCCGCACAGTCGTGGATACCTGTCATCATCAATGCCATGCTGGGTGGTGAGCTACTTGGCTATAACACCTTTTACGTTGAGATCACTGAAATACTGCGCAAGTCATCATGATGACTCGGATATATGCCATGTATCGGCGATCTAAAAAGATGCTCATCATTCTCGTTATACTCTTACTGGCCGCCACACTCGCCACCGCAGTGATGACCGCAATAGTAAACATTGATGTTTCATGGGGTAAGTTTTAACAATAATCAGGAATGAAACCGTTGAACTTCATGTATGAGACTCATGGACAAATAACAGAGGAGTTGATCCTTTCTGGCATCTCTCGGTGTTTCGACTACACCAACCCAGCAGCTGTACGCCTGCCTCACGAGACTTTGATACCCACTCTTGTTTGGCAGATGCTCGCCCTGTGTCTTGCACTCTGGATTGTTATAAAACACTTCTGTGAAGTGCGACAAATGCCGACAGCAGGAGGCTCTTTCATGGTGTTAATAAAAGGTCACGTGGTGGACTTTGTAGGGTGAGGTCGGTTATTTGGGTGTTATTGACCTGTTCCACTAAATTTCCGCGTGTGCTAGCTTTGCTGCTGTGTCCTGCTTCAGCATTGGTTCGCTGTCTCCGACGCTCATGGTGCGCTGAACTGTGATCGATTCATTTATTCCTCATCATTTCTAATACAGGACGCATCTTCCCCGGCAAGTAATGTTTATTTCGGCATTCTTCAAATTATACAGCCTATTCAGATGTTTGTGCTGGGCCCGCGTCTCATCCTTGACATTCGAGAATATCACGCTAAGCTTGTGGCTAGCTCTGATGAGGGTACTGGTATGAGTACAATTGCTTTTCAGGAGCGCGGACAGGTCTCAACTGGCGATGGTGTGTAACATGTGGAGGATTGAATTTAGTCTGGGAAAACCAACCCACCGGGAACAGAAAGGAGGAATTTAGTGCACCAACTTATATCTTCCTATTACACATTGCAGAGCAATTTACTATTGATACTGTACATCGACGCCAGTAGGTGTCACTGTTCCATATTTCATTGAAAATCGAATTGGCTTCGAATCCAAATGGACTAACTTTTCAACTCGACCTCCCCAAATGGGGGTGGTAGATCATACAGCCTTGTACGTGTTCCTTGCCTCATAACCCCCACTATCTGTTATAATTGCTTCAACAAATCTGCCATGGGTCCTCCTCGCCGAGCTCGTTCTAATTCGTCTGTATCAACACACTCTCAGCAACATCGTCACCGACAGCCGCAACCACTAGAGCCAACTCCTCCTGAAACAATGCCGTCTACACAATCACATCTAGGAATGTCTCCTCAGTCGCGTTATCTCTCGAACATGAAGGTTGTTCGTCGTAGAGACCCCTCTATTGTATCTATATTCGATCAGTTCAGCCACGTCTGTGTGTACCACCATAACGGTGACAAATGGGAGAAGCAGGGTTATGAAGGGAGCATGTTTTTGTACGAGAGGTACGTTCGACGCATTTGTTTGGCATGTCTGCAGCTCATTTTCTGTAGGGATTCTTACCCACCTTATGGTCTCTATATTTTGAATCGTGTGGGTATGGACGACTACATCCAACGACTCTACCCAGAAGATGGCATAGGCGCGCATGGTTCCTATCTCATGATGCGTCATTACCCCGACTTCACCACACGCAGGCTCGCAGAAGCACGAGACAAACTACCCCTCTCCAAGCAGGAAGGTCCAGCCTCTAAATTTGCTCCTGAGTTCGTCCTGCCAAATCTAGAACAATTACAAGATGCCGAGAAAGGTCGATCACAAACGGTCGGGTTGTGGTGCTTTGCAACCGATGCAAGAGAAAGCATGCAAGACGTTGTGTTGAGGTAAGTGACAGGCCTTTCGCCAGGTTTGCACATACTCTGACGCACTTGTAGATTGCATAGCTATATCAAGCAGAATCTTCCGTATCCAGAGGAGTATAGATATGGCCCGGATCGTCCTCCTCCCCCGAACTTTCGGTCGTCATCGAGGGCCAGTGGTAGGCGGACTGAAAGCTTATTCAAAGAATTGCTCTTAATGTCTTGCAGAACGTTCGCACATGCGCTCGGCATCGAGCGCATCCACTAGCAGCATACATAGCATTTCGGAGTCGGAAGAGTATCATGCAGGAAGTCAACCCACCCCCTCAGAAAGTAGTCGCTCCAAAGGGCATGTATCGGAGCTTGACAAACTGTTTGCCAAGCTGGGGGGCACGGGATGTACTCCACAGCAGATGCCCTTACAATCGCAGACTAAGGAGACGACTGCTGCAAGTTTACTGGCCGGCATATCCGGCAGTGGAAATGTTCATAGAACGGCGTCCGTTCCGCCACCGACCTCCAATTCTGTCCCTCCGACTCGCGGATTAGCTTTATTGGACACCATCTTTGCCTCCGCACCACCACCACCAAGCCAACCCAATCGCGGACCATCTCGCTCTGGAGCGGCATCAGTTTCCCTGCCCCTACCCACCTCTACACATGCACAGACCACATATACTACACAAGCTCAGTCCACGACGCTCGGATACACCGCTGGACACACTGCCAGCTCACAAAGTCCTATCATCCTTTCTCCCAAACCAACGTCTACTGCACTACCTCAGGTGCTCAACCAAGATGTCATCTCTACGCTCCTCGGGCTCCCCGCATCCCGTGCCTATGAGGGTGATAATGAGGCAAGCGATGACGGATCTATCTCCGAAGGAGGATATTCTGTTTCTAGCACTATACTTGATGCTGATGCAGAAAATAACATGGAGCTGCAAGCTGCAGGGTCATCCTCTGGATTGCCGCTCCTCGTTGCACCTATGGGCCAATCTGAGTACAAAGGCACAAGAAATGGGAGCGGCAAAACCCTGGGCGATGTCACCCCTCGTCCGCCACTCCGAGGTTTCAACTCTGATTTCACGGTGGTTGGGGACCTCCTCACGGCTGCTCAGACGATGAAGCACTCGCGTGCCTCCCCACACCTTCATATTCCCTCTGTCGCACCTCCACAACCTGGGGATCCGGATACCACGCCGACATTGACCAGCGTCAATGGCACACACAGCGTACCCAAGCCCCGTTCCCTTATTCCATTCGAGGCAGATTCTGACTTGTGGCCATACCCTCGTGCTCCATTTGTCGAGGCAGACTCAGATGTGATTGAGCTCGACTTTGCTGATACGAGTGCACTAAGCGATCCGGATGCGTTTGCGAAGGAGCAGCGCTCGAAAAATAGGAGGAGTCAGAAGAAAGGTCGAAAGGAGCGGGAGAAGGATCGTGAGCGAGAGAGAGAGGAGATAGAGAAGAGCTGGGATGTGCCACCGCCTGTCAAGGTTGTGCCACTTCCACAACCACAAGGTGTCGTGTCGACACCTGCAGTCCTTGTTAATGGCAAGGCCAAGCATGTACGCAAGGAGCGTGCCGGTTCTGTAGCTAGTCAGAGCTCTGTTGATGACTCAAACGCCATCGACACTCATGCTGTCCATGCATCTCTGCTGTCTGCTCTCGCCCAGAAGAAAAATGCGAGTTCGAATAATTTTTCGAGGAACGACTTTGTCCGGGAAGTTCTGACTCTCATACACGTATGTTTTGTATTCATTCAGCAAGTCTAAAGCATCCTCTCTGACTTATATGTTTTCAGACAGACAAAGATTTCGTGGACTCTCTTTGGCAGGAGTATACTTTGAGTGCGAAATGATGTCCCGGAGATGGCTTTGGATGCCTGGAAACTTCACTACAAGAGCTCATATATTTTTGCTCGCGATTGCTGCTTGATTCAAGCCCCACTAGTACTACTTCGCCACTCCCTTGATGATTTGTATTGTAGGTGTTGCTGCTGTGTTACCGAGTATCTTGTTAGGAGGGGTTTTGCATCCGACGCAGTTGTATTAATTGCTCCGTTTGATTTGAGACTTCATTGTGATGTTTGAGGTATTGTTTTGGTTTATACAAGGTGAGCCAATTTCGAGAATAACTTCTATACCAACAGTAGGCAGATAAGGTCCACGATTGCTACTCGGGATAGGTTTCCACTCAAGCACCTCCATGTACTGCAGCATTGCCCGTCGCCACCATCATTTCCTGTAGTGGTAATCCTAGATCCCTGTCGATCTGTTCAGCAGAGCTTGTCGTTCACATTCAACAAATGCTACAATTTCTCCAACCGATGGACGACTTGCACGAGGCAACCAGCACCGCTGTATGAATTCCCAGTGCCCAGGCGCTATTTGCGACTCCTTGGGAGGCTCTGGTTTCTTGCCCTTGATGACCTGTCCCAACACTAAAATATCATTTTTCACGTTGTAGTACGGTACCTTGCAAGTCAACACCTAGGGCATGCGCGAAGTGAGCAAAGTTCTTTCGGCAGAAAAGTTAAGTTACTAACCTGCAATGTGATACTGCCAAATGAGTATATGTCGCACTCGGTGCTGAGCGAAACCTCATCGTCTTCTGATGCTTCGCATAACTCTGCAGCTACCCATCGCACGTTCCCTCGGATGGAGCTTGTAAAATAGGAGGTACCGACGAATTCCAGGATGATAGTGGAGAGACCAAAATCAGCGAGGCATGCCCGACCGTTGCTATAAATCAAAACATTCGACTGGAGAGTCCGGATGTGAGTAATGAAGGATACAAGTTCTGTGAGTGTATACACACCCCTGTCAGGTCACCATGGACAACTGATTCACTGTGGAGGTATTCTAATCCAAGGGCAATGTCATCCAGCTAACGTGTGCCAACACGTCAACAAACACCTGGAAATACTTCCAAAAAAGAGCTTACAAGGGAAAACTTATCTTGAGGCGACAACACGTGTTGTTGACGCTCAAGAAAGCCTGTGAGAGCTCCATTATCAGCCCACGGACAAATCATTGCTGGGTGGGGCCCAAAGTCGTTTGCCACTCCATAGAGGGGAAGAATGCTACGGTGTTTGAGACGGGCCCAAACTTTCAGCTCGCGACGCACTCTCTATGTCAAGTCATTGTTGGAAAGATTGTCATAGATGAAATAGGGAAATTACCTTCCCATTCTTTCGCGTCAATTCTTTGTTATCCGACTCGAAAGAACGAATAGTCTTCACCGCTACCTGCGTGACGTTCAAGATATCCTATGGGAAGCGCCACAAGCTGAGCATACCTGGACGGTCCCACTGGGCTTCACTAAATCACACTTCCAGATGTCTCCAAAGCCTCCAGAAGCGATTGGATAGCGCGATCTTCCCTGGAGTTCATTAGTCAGATCTTCCAGAAAATCTGACGCAGAACCTGGTGACTCTTGGTTAGCTTCTTCCTCTGTCGCCATTATTTCTGAGGAAGGTAAAGTGGAAGTCTGGATAGTTGTGTGAGTCAGGGGTATATATCAATAATGCACATCCATACATTCAGGAGTAACTGCGCCCGAGATAACATGTTTTCACTGTCCTGGAAGAATGTGAGAGGGAGTGGAGGAATGGAAAGAATCTGCATACATCGGGTGTTGGCTCATCACACTCTTTCCCTCGTGCTGGTTGTTCCTCCTTCAGGATCTCTTCCTCCGTAGCGTGCACCGCCCCAAATGCTGCAAGTTTGGCTTCCTCCTCGCGTCTGTATTCCGTTGATCTCGGCCAAAGGTCATGTGTGATGCGTCTTTCCTCCTCCTTTTCCTCTGGTCTAATAACTTGCGTCATGTTCCTGACCTCTGTCTCTTTCCCGACATCCTTGACTTCCTTCCTCGCAAGAGTCTCCTTCCGGTTGATTCCGCCACCTTTGAGGTTCTCCTCTTTCATTGCCCCTGCTTCCATGGCGCTTGGTGCCACTTTCTTTGGCGTTCGTAACTTAGGTGTGCTCGATGACTGTGAGCGTGTGATCGAGCTCAACATCGAGAACGTCCAGGGTGTGTTGCTACGGTTGGTGCTGGTTGACTCAGAGCGGTCCCTATGCGAATTTGTTGCAGATGTCTGAAGCTCGTTGCGGCTGGGGATGGGCAAGGGTCCTACAGAAGACGAAAAGGACTTTGAGGTAGACATTTGATGAGGTGGATCCTTGTAGGCTGATGATGTTTGCGGATTAGGTGTACTCAATAGGTGTAAGCTCGCGTTTGAGCTTAGCCGACTCGAGGACGTCCAGGTTGAATTGCTACGACTGGTGTATGTGCGGCCCCTATCTGCAGTTGAACTCCCTGCTGCAGACATGTGAAGCTCATTACTATCGGGGGGAGACATCTGGCGAGGTTGATTCTTCTGGGCTGATGGTGTTTGCGGCTTAGTTATATTTGACCTCCATGAGTTCGCGGTCGAGCTCAAATGAGTTGAGGACGTCCGGGTCGTGCTGCTACGGCTAGTGCTGATCGATGTGGAGCGGCCTCTGTTAACAGGCGGACATGCTGCTGACATGCGCTCGTCACGGTCGGAGGTTGACCAAGGACCTGTAGAAGATGAAAAGGATCGAGAATTAGACATGCGGGGAGGTGGCGTTGTTCGACTCGGATGATATCCCAAGGACTTCCAGCTCTGATTCGTCTTTTCCTCCAAACTTTGGCGTCTTCTCTCTTCGATATGCTTTCGATATTCTTCCTGTTGGACCTTCCGCTGGTCATATCTGCGGTCCATCTCTACCTCCCTAAGGGTCAGTTGATTATCCCGTCGCGCGAGTTCTTCCTCTTTACTCCGAATCTTTTTCTCTTCGGCGCGCAATGCTTGTTCTTTGAAGACAGCTTCATATTCCTTGCGTTTCACCTCCTCTGACTTCCGCATAACGCCTCGTGTCATTCGTCTTTCTTCCTCCTCTAAACGCCTCGTCGCTGGTTCTTCCCGTCTCCTGAGATCGTCCGCCCTTTTCTTGCCCTGCGCCTCGTTTCTCTCAGCCTTTTCCTCTTTCTTCTTCGCAAAATTCTTTTGGAACTTGCTTTCGTTTCCTTCACGTTCTGTTCCTTCTCCCTCCCTGTTTACCCCCTCCTCCAGTTTTATGATATCGAGCTCTTTGCGTATGATTTCGTCATCTACGCGTTCGGTTTCCTTCTCCTCGTGCCTAGGGTTGTCTTCTTTCTGATTAGCTTCCTCCTGCCGTATAACATCCTCCTCTCTCCTCTTTAGTTCTTGCTCCCGCAGAGAAATCTCTTCCTCTCTCTTGCGGAAGCTCTCCTCCCTCTGGCGAAGCCTGCGCTCATCATACTCCCACAAGTCTGCATCATGAAGGTCATCGTCATACTGATGAATAGGCAGAGCGTGATGGTACCCGTAACGCATGTCTTGCGAGGAAAGTCGAGTACAGAAATTAGATGACTGCCAGCTCCGCGGGAGCTCATCCGGTGTCTGTGGAGGATGCGAGGACTCATAGGTTTGGTACGGCGAGTGTGTTGGAACATCCCAGTCTTTGGGACTTGGGCTAGACTGAAAGCCGTCATCATCCAATGAAAACAATTTCTTGATGGCGATAGGCCTGCTGGCAGTTGGTAGGGGTATCTGCGAGGACGAGGGGAAGTGAGAGTGCCCTATTGGGACTGTAGAGCGTAGGCTGTCTGAAGAGTAGGAGTACCCCATAGGGACTGTTGAGCTCGAACTGCCTAAGGAGCGAGAGTACCTGGCGGCGGGGACTACGAAGCGCGAATTGGGTGCCATTGAAGGGGATGGTGGTGTTTGTGGATAATCCTCATCCAACCGCTCAAAGGCAGAGGCACTGGCACTGGCTTCAATATATGTGTACGGTGTCGTTCGCCTTCTATCCCGAGCTCTGTAAATGGCACTCCACTGTTGTTCTACGGTCAAAGCGTGGTCCCTCTCCCACTCATTCGGACTGCCAGTCACATCGTGCGACGGGATGTTGAGCACTGATGGTGCCTGATCAGAGGCAGTGCTCGTCGTGCTCCTCCGTCGCGACATGGTGAAGATATGGGGTATTAGTGCATCTTCTTCAGGTGTTGACGGAAGCCCTGGGGGGACAGATCTGTTGGAAAGGCTCGCTGTGCGCAGAAAGCTTCGCCTGTCTAGTGCGTCCGTAGCTGAACGCGTAGACCTGTGCATGTCATCTGAACCGATTAGGGATGAATGCTTTGGGCGCTCAAAACTTCTGCCTGTGATATCCAATGTGGATGACCCCATTGCGCTGCTGATATACCTGGCCCGATCCTTGTCAGTATCGCCAGACACATTGTCACGTTCTCGGTTGGCGAAACGAGAGAAATAATCGTGTTTGACCTCCGAGGGCTTTTGCGGAGGCCAGGTGTCATGTTCGGGTATAAAACCAGAAGTATACGACTGCAAAGTATGCGTGGGAAGGTGCAAGGAGGAAGGAGAACGAGCAGCGTTGATCTGGCTTTCACGTCGAAGTACAACAGGGAACTGCTCCTCGGTAATATTACGAATGCTCTTCATCGGAGTAATGTGTTCCTGGGACAACCGCTCGCGCTCGACAGTACTGGTCAGGGCATTCGCGGAGGCATCGTTAAGATTCTGCTTGACCTCGTTGACCATGGAACGCAAGTTGTTCTCGATATCAACTTTGAGGCCACTCTTCCACTTTTTGTCAGGCTCACGATCAGCGGCGGGTGTGATGGTCGAGGATTTAACAGGGACGAGAACCAAGGTTGCCATTGGGCATAGGTGACTACGCAAAGTAGCTGTATACTATTCAGAGATTATAGCGTGGCAGACTGAAAGGCAAAGTCAATTCGGGTGTCTGTAATGTGATTGTGACCCGTACTAAAAAACGCACCAGTAATCTGGATGTAGTTGGCATATATACGCAGACAACACTTGCGTAGCTAGCAGAGAATCGAGAACCCGAATACGATGACCTATCAGTGAACGGCCGAATTAGTTACATCAATGGACGACAAAGACATGAACTGAACTGATGGCAATTGAACCTATCCTAACATGAAGTTTAGAATTAACTGATAGGCATAAGACTCACTAGGGACGCACCTTTTGGTCTTTACTATAACTTGAATGGTGCAGGCATGTCATTACTGGAAACTCTGTGACCCTGTCCAAAACGCAGCATAGGCCCGGGCGCGCTTGGTCTCATGATGATACGATTACATACTATTCATACACAGGCTGGCACTGCCCGGCAGACTCCGAGTTGATCGGGCACGAGCTCTGCTGGTAAGTCCCACTGACACCTCTAAATTTGCTCCCGAGGTAGGCATATGACTAATGATGCAAGATTCTTAGATCTTTAAGGAGGTCATCACCGTTGCTTATAATGCGATGCTTTGCAGCTGATGCAGGAGAAGACATTCAAATATTCAAGACGATGCGATGCATATGCGTTGAGGTGAGCCCATGGTGAGGTACTCAAGTGCCAAGTGCCAGGCGGGCCGCTTGCCGTAATCACCATGTTGAACTGAATTGATAATCACTATTAGATAACCGTGCATGGCCCAGTTGACAACTTGAACAGCACATCATTAAGAGTTTCCAATTTCCAGGTCACCGTGGAGAGATTCTACTCGGAGATTCTACTTGATCTAAGCTCCTTGCAGACTATCTTGCGCTGATAATTTTAATGACGCTATGACGCCATTACATTGCTCCCTCGCTCCGAGAAATGAGGTACCTAGGTGCCCACTATCTGAGCAAATGGACCGACTTCACGAACGGAAGTTAACATACCATGCATGCAAGACTCCTGGTATCCAACCCAAAATCGTAAGACAGATATTAATCCAAAAATCTGGCAAAATGGCATGAGATTTAATCGGCGTCGAGAGGACTATTGACTCGGATATTTACCTGCAGCACATCCGCGTTCTATTGGCATTGTCGTCATTAATATCATAATGTAGGAGGCATGAATTAAATGGTCGTATACTTACTGAAAAATACGGCTACTGGGGGAAGGACCCTGCATGCGATTTCAGTATGGTAACTTGTTGAGAATAACAGACGTACAGCGCAACAAAATACAAGATGACATTCCGTGTAGATGAAACGGTAGTGGTCATTTTGAGAAGGGTCTATGTGAAAATACGACTCTTTAGATGTCCAATAGATTTGGACGTTGGGCAACTTATATAACCAGGGGTATTTCAATGACATACGTCATGTCTGTTGGAGTGACTGCATGCTGGGCGGAGTGGCCGACTCCAGTGATCCGTTGGAAAGTTCAAAGTTCAAACAGAACAATTGGTTCAAGCTTAAGGTTCAAGAAGCTGATATACTAACGCCCTGAGTACAAGTCACCGGCACCAACCAGCTGGAGCTCGAGCGCTCAACCAGGAGCCACTTTCAAATTGAAGGGTGAGATCGTGCTGCCTTGCGCTTCTGTAGATGGAATTGCCAAATCGGTGATTGCGGCCGGACAATGTTTCATGGAGTGAGATCTCAATGACTTGTGCATATGTGAGCCTTAGTACTGGCGTCTATATGACAGCGCCACAATTGGGATGCTCGCCGTACAACTGAAAAGAATGATTGAACCCTATTGAGTCCCAGAGTAGCATGATCATGATGGTGTCCGGCCCGGGAACTGCACTGAGGAACCTGGAAGCACGAAGATATGAATAATTTTGATCGTCAGTCGAGGCGCCGGCCTCGAGGCCCTAATCGTAATCCATAAGGAAATGTGACAAAGTTACACAGATGATCCTTTTATGATTCCCGGTACCAGTGATGTTTGATAGAAGCTTGATATCGGGTGCGGCCAGAGCCTACAAAATCCAGATTGATATTTGAATCACGTCAAACTGCTTCAACACCACTTTCCAGGTGTGAAGCACTCGTAGAGAAGTATTACATCCGATTCATTAAGCTCTTGTACTCCGTTCAGCAGACTGGGATGACAGGGCTCGTAGTTCATGTCCCACAAACGCTACGATTTCTCCAACCAATGGACGTCTCGCACGAGGCAGCCAACATCGCTGCGTAAAGCTCCGGTGTCCGGGCGCTATTTGCAAGTCCTTGGGAGGTTCTGGTTTCTTGCCCCTGATGATTTCTCCAAAGACTGTCAAGTCATTCTTTAAATAGTAGTAGGGTACCTTGCAAGTCAATATCTAGAGCGAGCGCAAAGGGAATAAGATCCGGCGGTTGAAAGTTCAAGTGACTAACCTGCAATAGGATACTGCCAAATGAGTAGATATCGCACTCAGTGGTGAGCGATGCATTATCTGGTGTCTCATATAGCTCTGCAGCTGCCCATCGGATATTCCCTCGAATAGAGTTCGTAAAATAGGAGGTACCAATAAACTCCACGAGGATAGTAGAAAGACCAAAATCAGCAAGGCATGCCCGGCCGTTGCCATAGATCAAAACATTTGACTGGAGAGTCTGGATGTGAGTAATGAAGAATACACCTTCTGTGAGTGGCTATACACACCCCTGTCAGGTCACCATGAACAACTGATTCACTGTGAAGATATTGCAATCCAAGGGCAATGTCATTTAGCTAACGTGTGTCAACACATCAGCAAGCGTCTGGAAATACTTCTAAAAAGGGGCTCACAAGGGAAAACTTATCTAGAGGCGACAACACGTGTTGTCGACACTCAAGAAAGCTCGTGAGAGCTCCATGATCAGCCCACGGGCAAACCATTGCAGGGTAGTAGGGCCCAAAGTCATTTACTACCCCCCAGAGTGGAAGAATGTTGCCATGTTTGAGACGCCCCCAAACTTTCAGTTCACGACGTAGTCTCTAAGCCGAGTTATCATCCGAAAGATTGACATGGATGGAATAGAAACATTACATTCGCCTTCTTTCGCTTCTCTTCCTCGTTGTCCGCCTGGAACGCGCGAATGGTCTTCACTGCCACCACCTACATCACAGTCAGATAATACGGTAGCAAGTGTCACAAGCTGTACATACCTCACTGGGCCTGCTGGGCTTGACCAAAAAACATCTCCAGATGTCTCCAAAACCTCCGAAAGCAGTGGGGTAGGGCGGTCTCCCCTGGACTTGTTTGGTAAGATCCTCCAGTAAATGAACTTCCTCTTTCCATGGTACGCGTTCTTCCTCCTTCCTCTGGTTCTCTTCCTCTGTAGCGCGCGCCATCTCTCCTTTGAACCTACCTTCCTCCATGCGTCTCAAGTTACCTTCCCTTTGTGTCGTCGCCTCCCGGTACAACGCGGGATCTTGTGCTGGACGTCTTTCTTCCACACCATACCCCCTTGTTGAGTTCTCCGCATGCCTTGTGGGCCCTTCCCTTCTCTGGGCCTGCCCTTCCCCCATCTTGACTTCGTCTTCCTTCTTCTTCGCAAGCATAGCCTTCCGCTTGATTTCGTCTTCTTTGCGTTTGGTTTCCTCATCTTGCATTCTTCTCATCTCGAGTTCGTTGCGCTGTATTTCATTCCATGATCGGTTGAGTGTTTGATGATACTCGCCCTCAGATACCTCATTATGTGTATTGGTAGGCCGAACGGGATAGTAATGGTTCCCGCTCGTAGTGTTTAGCAAGGGGTGTTGAGAATCGAGCCTGTTAGACGACTGCCGATTCTGCGAGACCTCCTTTGGTGTCTCTTGGTAGTATGGGGACTCATGGCGGGTTTCGTACGGCAAGCGCGGCGGACCAGTCCAGTCTTCGCGACTAGAGCTGGGCCGAAAGCCGCTACTATCGAATGAGGCCGACTTCTGGGCAATGATAGGTCTACTGCTGGACGGTGGGGGTCCGCCGTAGCGTGCATGTGAATCCTGGATGTGAGACGGACGATTAAGACTCATGCTAGATTGAACGCCGCTGTCTAACGAGACCGATTTCTTAGTGATGGCAGGTCTAATAATAGGTGGTGGCACACCGGGGTGTGTGTACGGATCTTGCGGACGTGATGGACCATTCCGGCCTTTGGGATTCGAGCTGGACTGCTCACCGCTATCGTCAAACGAAAATGATTTCATGGCAGCGGTAATAGCAGAGACTGGGTGCATATTGGCGGGGGCTGCATAACCTGGGCCATATGTCGTTGATGAAGATAAGGCTGGGTTATAGGATGGAGGATCAATGTTGGCATGTAACCTGTGTCTGTCTCGCTCCTGATCTAAAGCCGGAATACGATCGCGGTCCCTGCTGGAAGCGATGGGCTGTGGTACGTGATATGAAGGATCAGCACCCGCTGTGCCCCCATGATGGGTAGCGTTGAAGTAATGAGACGCCTGGCCATCCTCTTTAGGTATGAAAATGCCCTCAATTTGAGTGTGCTGCCTTTCTTGCCTGAGGCCATTCATAGCGAATTGCTGTCTAGCCATGCGCTCTCGTTCAGCGACGGTGAGTACAGGTTTTGGGCGCTCAAAATTTGGATTTGACGTTGACCCTACTCCCATAGTAGATCCGGTAGGACCCCTGTCGACGCCGCGATTCGGAGGTACGGGGTGATTAGTGTACTGTTTTGAGTCCTCTGCAATACGTTGAGAAAGGACAAAGAAGAGGATGGACAGCTTTGTCTTGGCACTCACTTCCAGGCCTGCCCTGCATCGCAGGCTGATGCTCCTTTGCCATACTTTCTGACCACTACGATCATGAGCTGGAGGAAATATGCGTGCACGAACCTCTCTGGATTTTGGACGAGCAAGTTATGGAATGGGACAAAGTACAGGTGCCGATACGAGAGATAACACGGAACTAAATAGTGTAGGCACGATTACGGTATCGTTGGACTGCAAAGGAGGGCGCCTGTGGCTTTGGTTTGAAGTGACTGATCCAGGATTCCAGGACCCCGAGTACTCGATCGAGATGACAGGCGGAAAGTTTGATGAAGCCGTCCAATGGACAAGGGCTGGACTGCGTTCGATTCATAGATGACTAGTCTCGAAGGGTCTACAGCCTGAGTCGAGCAGCCATTGTGATTATGCTGCTAGCTTCGTTAGTGCGAGTCAATACTGATTTTTAGTCTCACTTACCCTGCGCTGATGATGATCATGAGGTGAAGACTATATGTATGTTTCTCACTGCAACAGTTCGTACTCTTCGCGCCAAGTGTGATTCGATCGCAGTCAGCCCTGAGTACTATGCCGATTCGTCGGCAAAGAAGGACTGCGGGAGTCTGGGCAGTACTTCTAGCTTGCTTGACACTGAAAATATACCGTGTTGACACCATGTCCAATGATGAGTGCTTCCGAGGTCACCGGTCAGGGATGAATAAAAAGAGAGAAGCTTATATTTATGGTCTTCGGTCAGCTCCGTGTTAACTAACCACGACACCTTCCTAATGAGGAGTTTAAAATGATCTTCCTCAAATTTGAAAACACTCCGGGTAACCACACAAGGCACTTTCTACATAAAATACCTTAACTCAATTCTTGTTACATCCTAGTGCGCACCGGTATTGTCAGTATATATGTTCAGATGGACTAGGATGACATATATTGTTGTCCACATGCTGTAAACGTTACGATTTCTGCAACTGACGGACGACTTGCACGAGGTAACCAGCATCGCTGCATGAACTCCCAGTGCGCGGCCCTAGGCGCTATTTGCGATTCCTTAAGAGGTTGCGGTTTTATCCCTTTGATGACTTGTCCTAACACTGCAATATCCTTCTTCACATTGTGGTAGGGTACCTTGCAAGTCAATACCTGGAGCATGTACGAAGTGAACAAGATATTTCGTTCTAAATCGAGTTACTAACGTGAAAGCGTCACGATACTACCAAATAAGTAGATGTCACACTCTGTGCCAGTGAGCGAATGCTCATCGTCCTCCGATACTTCACATAATTCTGCAGCTACCCATCGGACATTCCCGCGGATGGAGCTCGTAAAATATGAGGTACCAACGAACTCCAGGATTACAGTGGAGAGACCAAAATCAGCAAGGCATGCCCGGAAATTGCCATAAATCAAGACATTGGACTGGAGAGTTGGTACGTGAGTAATAAAAACCTTCTGTGTGCGAACGTACACACCCCTGTCAGGTCCCCATGGACGACTGATTTGCTGTGGACTGAACCAACATGAGCATTTGAGAAATGGGGTGCAGTGAACGACAAACTTACGGTATTGCAATCCAAGAGCAATGTTATTCAGCTGGCAAACGCAAGGAGGTCAGTAAGTACCCGGAGATGCTAGATACACAGGCTTACAAGGGAGAACTTATCGCGAGATGACAACGAGCTTTCCTGCCTCTCAAGATAGCCTGTGAGTGCTCCGTGTTCAGCCTATGAGCAAATCATTGCAGGGTAGGGTCCAAAGTCAGTCGCCACTCCCCAGAGTGGAAGAATGCTATCATGTTTGAGACGGCCCCAGACTTTGAGCTCCCGACGCACTCTCTAAAGTCGATTCAACATCAGATAAACTGACACGCGCGATGCCATGGAAGACCACATTACCCTACTATCCTTCCGCATCAAGACCTCGTCATCGGATTCGAAAGCACGAACAGTCTTCCCTGCTACCTTGGTCATTATCAGGATGGTAACCGTAGGAAGAGCGACAAGCTGGGCATACCTGGACAGTCACGGGCTTTACTAAATCACACTTCCGAAGTTCCAGATGTCTCCAAAGCCTCCAGAAGTGATCGGATAACGTGGTCTTCCCTGGAGCTCATCAGTAAGATCTTGAAGTGCATGTGACGGTGCTCTGGTCCGCTTTGGAGATGGTGCGTGATCCTTGGAAGTAGTATTAGACTCGATGGTAGCATCGGTTTCTGTCCCGTTCCTGTCATCCATTCGTAACACATTCCGAATATCTCTTCGAGGGCGTGTGGGTGCTATATCTTTGGTATTGAAAGATGATTGTTTATGACTCGGTGTGCGAGTCTCAAGCCTGGTTCTCAGCTACATGGAGAGGTCAAAGATTGAACGAGACATGAGAAAAGCTGAGGATGCTCACGATCGGTTGGCGCACAACTCTCGATTTGGATGGACATCCCTAGTAAAAAGTTAGATCTAGTGTGAAAGAGAAGCAGAGAAAACACACCTCAAGCTTTGCATTCCCATATTCCGCATGCTGGTAAATGACCAAAATTATTAGAGAAAGACATCGAAACACCAAAGCACACGTACTACAACTTTGAGCGCCACCCCCAGGCTCCATACATATATATTTTTGTCTAGTCCAGCACTAGCAATGTATTTTCCATCGGGGGACATGGCAACAGCCAAGAGGGCATCATCATGCAAGAGTGGACCTCCGACCGCCTGATTGGTCTTGAGATCCCATATGCGAATGGAGCAGTCACTTGATGCGCTAACAATATAGCTTTCATTGAGAGTAAGACAGAGGGATTCGACGGTGTTGGTGTGACCCCGAAAAACAACGAGTTCCTGTCCATCAATCGCGCGCCATTTTCGGATGGTGTTATCTCCCGACCCAGAGAAGATGTGTGCGCCATCCTTGGACCAACACAACGATGTCACCACACCGTCATGTCCCTTGATCTCGATAAGCAGCTTGCCGTCCCTTGACCATACGCGAATGATCATGTCCTCACCGCCGCTCATGAATTTGTCGCCTTGTGGAGAGTATTTGATGGCCATAACCCATCCGCGACTGGTCTCTATGGGTGGTACTATTTGTCGACCAGTATCTGGGTTCCAGCGTCGTATGGTGCCGTCTTCTGATCCACTTGCTATCTCCGGGGTATTGTGAGTCCAATCAAGGCACCTCACTGTGGTATTATGCCCCTCCCACGAGTCGCCGATCATGCTGCCCTTTTTTATATTCCACAGCCGCAGTCTGCCGTCTGCACTTCCACAAACGGCCATTGTTTCGTATGGGGATGTTGTTATCGAGCATATCCCTCCCCCATTGTCATTCAAAGGTTTGCCTACTGGCTCTCCGTCTCTTTTCCATTGACGAATCGAACTATCGTCAGACACGCTCATTATATTGCCACTGGTACCCAAGTAGGCAAGGCTCCATATGCATTCGATGTGACCCTCAATGACGCACTCCGGCATCAAGCTTCCTTCAGGACGTTCTGGCTTTGGTTTCTTCCACGACGTGGTCCGAGTATTGTGGTCGACAAAGTAGGACCGACCGAGTGGTGAGATGTGCCATTCATATCCAGGAACAGCGATACATCCAGGATAATCTATGTTCAACCGTGAGTTCGTCGCTCCTTATCGCAATTTCATCCCTCACCTAGCCGCACTCCTGGTAAAGGTCGGTTCCACGAGACTATCGCGAGCGTGTCATCTTGATATCGTATTTCACCATCCGACGTCTTATACTGCTGCCACATAGTAGGAAGCGCTTCATTCCCGCCTGCATATGATTTAGTAAGTTGATGGGTATCACAAAGTAGTTGCTCACCTTTCCAAAGTGCATCCTGGCGGTGCTGTGCACCATATCGTGGTGGATCCCTCGCGCTCGTCTGAAGAGGTACAACATGTGCTGGTGGTTTGAATAGCGCTTCTTCTTGTGCTTCTCTCCGTTTTGCTGATGTGCTTGACTCGCCGAATTCGCTAAGCATGATTTTAATCGAGAAATGACGGTGCACTTCTAGACGGTTGGAGCTAGAAGCTAAACTTGAGAATAGGCAAATCAATAGAAGGGCAAGAAGGTATGGTGGAAGCGATGAAAAGACCTGTTAGACGCTCAGGCTCACGTGCTGTATTTATATGCGCCTTCCATGCACTGCATACCGTCAGAGGCAGTGTCACATGCTGTTGAAAGAAGCGACCCGTCAAATTTTTGAATTATATAGTTTGTTTATGATTTGGAGCGACTGTGCATATATCGACATTTGGGTCCATACACCGTACAGGCGCGTAGCAATACTTCCTCCCAGTTACATATTCGAGTTGGGTGCACCCCCCTCACAATAATATAAGTGCTGAGGCTCCCAACTCCCACTAGGGTCGCAGAAGACCATAGCACCACCAAGAGACTACATCCCAGAAAAGCGGAGGCAACCTCACTGAGGGTGTTGTCAGCACGTGGGGTGGATCTGGGGAAAGAAGTGCAAGGGAAAGAAGGTGCACGAAGAGAGATGGATCCGAGTGCGCAGGTGACAGTCACAGTGACAGATGTTGATTATCAGAAGAGTCAAACACAGGTGCGGGGGAAATTGAGTTTGTGCGTGCCACTGTCGTACGACCATGTGTCATTGTAGTGGTATTCGCCATCTGTTCTTCCGAAACCTGAATGAACGTCGGAGATGCGATCGTGGTATATTACAGACATGTCCTGTGCGTTGGGCCCGGGCAGGACGGGCGACTCCGATGGGTTCACACTGCTCCCAAGCTGTTGTTATCCATACTGGGAGACTAGGAGCATAACATAACACGAGGTTTAGTAAATGAGCTCAAGTTGAATGGGACTTACGAGTCTTGAGATCAAATGACCAGAGGTCATTCAGGAACTCGCCGTCTACCTGACCTCCGAAGATGAAAAATTTGGTGCCAATCATAGTACAGCGGCATGACGGTAGCGTCCAGCAGGTACAGCACCGCGCATAGCTATCCGGGTCCACTCTCATTAAACTGGGATGTACATGAAGTATGGTTTATACGAACAATTAGGATGAACACACCGAGATTCAAAAGATACAAGCTATCATCTTGTTTTTCTGACTGATCGGACGAGGGGTCTGTTTTGGTGTCGTCTCCCCATATGATGAGAACGTTGCTAACAATGGCACTCGCGTGACCGACTCGCGGCGAGGGTATTTGTCCGGCTGTCTGCACGAGAGTCGCGGAAAGATCGCGAGTGGAGAAAAGGTATAAATCATTGCGGGCGGTTTCGCGAACAATTCACCAAAAAGGTACAACTGTCCAAAAGCAGTGACTGTTGCCGCAAGTGTATGACCATGGCGAGGGAGTGGTGGAGGTGAAGGTGAGATTGTGGCAGCCACGTCAGGCTTTTGGATTACAAGTGGGGGCGGGAGGAGTGGGCGCCGTGCAGACTAGGGATAAGCTGGCTGTTGTCGAGATTGTTGGCTCGAGGCGTTGGATCAACGTTGGATGATTCTTGCTGTGATTTGGGTGGCTGTCATGTGATTACATAATAAAACATTGTTGTTGACGTAACGTAGTCAGCCAATAAAACATCGTTTATCGTTTATTGTTGTACATTGGGCTAAGTAGAAAAAATATACTTTGCAATATGACTGCGTCAAAAACATCGCTCGATTCTTTTTACGGTTGTGACGCTGCGTACTCATTCTCCCCGCTCTTATCCTTATCTCGGATCATTTGGCCTCTTCGACGGATCCTTCGAGGCTCGACAAATAGTACCGTAGTTTATCCCTGAGGGTATTAGAATGGCAATATAAAACAGCATGAGCTCCACTTTCTCTGCCAAAGAAAACTTCACATTGACACAATTACTGTGTGGTACACAGGACCCTGTTTAACCGTGTACTATACCCCTGCCATGACTCGGATTCACGATTCCTCTAGACCACTGATCAGAAGTGAACTTGTAGTGAATATAAATGAGTTCTCACATCGATATCCATGCTTTTGACATCATTTACAACTTTCATAAACTGTTGATGCCCAGCTTCTGTCGTGATGTCAAGCTCCCACCTATTTGCTGGAACTATGTCGTGTCGTCCCCACTAGTTGGAACACGGTCAGGGCGTACACGGCCACTAATTGTCTCCGTGGAATAAAAAGCAAGCTTTTGTCCCATAGCACTGATGCCATGAAGCTTGGGTAACACAGTTTCAGGACCAATGCGATGGAGTATTCTCCTCATCTTGTTGTCTGCCGCAATCCTGGTCGACAGGAGGTTAATATGACCAGGGGGATGGGGTTGCACGTATATGGTTCCAATGAGGTCGGATGGAACGTGGTGCAGAGAAGTGTGGTGTATGCCCCATTGTATTCATTCTCATTGATCGTATCAGCCGGAACATAAGCGGCAAATTTATCAAGCACATGCTGAGGCAACATTATCGACAACTAGTGGGCAACAGCGATGACGCGTGTGATATCGGTTGTGGTTGCAACGTTGAACGTTGTTGAATATTATGTAACTTATAATAATGAGAGGTCGCGTCGCTCGAATTGGCAGGCTGGCAGACTCCATGGTTTCGGACATCGACAATGGCATCATCACGGAAATGATAGGGCACGGTCCCTTCACAATACAATTTACAAGTTAACTCGTTTCTATGATTTTCACTGGTACTAAGGCTAGCGCTCCAGCTGGCAGCTGCGATCCCCCCCGCACTAGCAGCGGCACGCGTGAAAGTTGACTCATGGATTTCTCCGCCGGGCTCGTATTCGGCTCGAACCAAAGTATCGGTTCCGAGTTGTTCATAAAATTAAGCTAGTACTAGTATTGACCTTTCATCTCTTTACCTTACTTTCCTCCAGAAATCAAGTGTGCAGCCGCCATGCTGTCTAAACTGCTGTCATTGTCTATAATTCCATTTGTTCTAGGTGCACCGGCCACCCTGGCTCCGTCTGCTGCAACACCATCTACTCCAGGTGGTAACGTTAGCGCTTCTGTAGCTGGTCCGTATTCGCTGGTGACAACCTCATTCAATTCTTCATCAACTTCTGCTGCAAGCTCCGCAACATCTTCTGCTTCCGCCAACACCTCGGGCGCGTCCACCACAACTGGTGTTATCACCGTTCCGCTCTCTAGCTATTCATTTGCTCCTTATCCTACACCTACTCTCAATCCTCGTCCTCCTGTTTACCCTGCAACTGATCCTTTGAACCCTCCTTCTGTCAGTAGTGATCCACAAGTCGTGCCAGATTTTGCGCCTGCATGGGCTGCTGCCTACCAAAAAGCCGAGAACCTTGTGAGTGCATCCGTTTTAATGGCCGATTTTTTTGACTGTCTTGCCATCTTTATCATTCGAAACTTTTTCTATGTCTCCACGTGCTGAACCTCTTTCATGCTCAGATATCGGATTACACTATCGAGGAAAAGGTCAACATCACTACAGGAGTCGGTTGGGCAAACGGGTTGTGCGTTGGTAATATCCCACCCAATAAAAACTTCCCCGGTTTATGTCTCGAGGTAAGTAGCTTGAGTTTACGAGTTATTGGTCTCACGATTCGCTAGGATTCGCCTCTCGCTGTCCGGTTTGCAGACTATGCAACTGCGTTCCCTGCTGGCATTCAGGTAGCGTCCACGTGAGTCATCTTCAAGGTCTCCGTCGTAACCTGTCTCATATCTGTCACAGCTGGAATCGTGCTCTCATGCGTGCTCGTGGCCTGGCTTTGGGTCAGGAGTTCAAGGGCAAGGGCGTCAACATTGCCCTTGGTCCCATGATGAACATGGGTCGCGTCGCTCAAGGCGGTCGTAACTGGGAGGGTTTCGGTGCAGATCCTTTCCTGACCGGCGAATCTGCATATGAGACAATTTTAGGCCTACAAAATGGCGGAGTACAAGCCACTGCTAAGCACTTTATCAACAAGTTTGTCTTTTCTTACGCCTGTTTGCACTTGCACTCATCTGTCCTACTAGCGAGCAGGAGCACTTCCGCACATCAGAATCTTCAAATGTTGATGACCGGACTCAACATGAGATTTACGCACACCCGTTCTTGCGCAGCGTTATGGCCGGTGTTTCGTCCGTCATGTGCAGTTACAGTAAGTCCCAATAATGTTCTATATACACCATTCACATCATCTGAGGTCTGAATCGCAGATCTCATCAATGAAAGTTACGCTTGCAACAACGACAAGATGCTAAATGATATCTTGAAGCGCGAGTACGGTTTCCAAGGTTTCGTTCAATCTGACTGGTCGGCGACGATGTCGACCCTCTCTGCTGTCGCAGGCCTTGACATGACCATGCCTGGCGATATCACGTTTGACTCCGGCGACTCCTACTTTGGAGGCAACCTGACGGACTATGTGAACGACGGCTACATCAGCATGGCTCGCCTGGACGACATGGCGACGCGCATCATCGCTGCTTGGTACTTCCTTCACCAGGACGAGGCCTACCCTGCGACGAATTTCAACGCGTTCAATTCTAACGACGAAGTGAACAACAAGCATGTGAACGTGCAGGCTGACCACTATAAGCTTGTGAGGGAGATTGACGCAGCTGGGACGGTCCTTTTGAAAAATGTAAATGGGGCGCTGCCATTGAACAAGCCGAGGAACCTGGTATTGATCGGAAGCGATGCCCGTCCAGGCAAATTCGGCCCGAACGAGTTTTCAGATCAAGGTGGAAGTGACGGGATTCTGGCCATGGGCTGGGGATCTGGGTATGTGCTATCTCAGACGTACTTGTATTTTTCCTGAAAATTGATCGACAACACATAGGACTGGTTACTTCCCTTACCTTATTTCGCCTCTCGAGGGTATCCAGGAGCGTGCTCGCCAGGACGGGAGCAGTGTGTTCTGGGACTTTGACGATTGGAACACCGTTCTGGCTGGTGATATGGCGTACGGCGAGGCTGTTGCTCTCGTTTTCACTAACTCTGACTCTGGCGAGGATTATATTACTGTTGATGGCAATCAGGGAGATCGGTATGTTCCTCACACATCTTCAGTGATAGCTGTGCTCATTTCGGACCAGTAACAACCTCACTGCTTGGCACAACGGTGATGACTTGATCCTTGCTGTTGCTGCGCAGAACAACAACACCATAGTCATCGTGAACAGTGTGGGCCCGCTCATTATCGAGCCTTGGATCGAGCACCCTAACATCACCGCTGTCGTCTGGGCCGGCATCCAGGGCCAGGAGGCAGGTAATGGTATCGCTGATATACTTTATGGCGCATACAACCCCTCTGGAAGACTTCCATATACTATTGCTAAAGATATCGCCGATTATCCTGCTCAACTCATCACTGATGATTCAGGAAACGACATTGTTACCATTGATTACACGGAGGGGTATGTCAACTCGACCAAGATTGCCTTGCGTTGATATTGATTTCACTTCGCAGGCTGTTCATCGATTATCGCCACTTTGATCAAGTGAGTTCCCTGACTTTACATGGCGTTTTTAAGTCCTAAACAAGGGTAAATGTAGGCAAACATCACGCCGCGCTTCGAGTTTGGTTTCGGCTTGAGTTATACCACGTTCACGTACTCTGGCCTTGGCGTAACTCCGATTCAGTCGTCGGATACTGATCAGGAGGATTTGATCACTGCTTGGGAGAGTGGAAAGGCTTCGCCCATCGCTGAAGGGTCTTCCACTGCGCTTTGGTGAGTTTTATTCAGACCAATGAAGAATCTGCAGGCTGATACACTATTTACCAGGCTCCATGAGCCTGCATTCAAGGTAACTTTCGAGGTCACCAACACTGGACCTGTATCTGGGACTGAGGTTCGTGACATACATTGCCCTCGTTATCTCGATATTTACGCCTAAGCTACTCCAATAGATTCCTCAACTCTACATTCACTTCCCGTCTTCCGCTAGTGAGCCTCCATCAGTCCTGAGGGGCTTCACGAACGTCGAAATCTCGCCAAACGACACGAAACAAGTCTCAATAACGCTCTCGCGCTATGACCTGTCTATCTGGGACGTCGTCGCTCAGGGATGGCGCAAGCCTGATGGCCAGATCTCGTTCTCGATTGGTGCGAGTAGTAGGGACTTTAAGCTGCAGGGTGACATTTCTGCTTGATCGTGCTTGTTTGAAATGCTTTTGATTTGATTCAGTGCATGTACTTGATTGGACATTAATGTAGTGCAAGTAATGCATGATTATGAGTCAAACAATGGTGGGATGTCGTCGATATGCAGCATATATGAAACATTCTATGGGTAACCGTTGCATTCTCAAAGTATGATACGGGGACATGGTGTTCGTGGGCTCGGGGACATTTTACGAACATATCAGATGGCCTGAACGAACGAGTGGGTCGCCGCAGAGCATGGCCTTCCTTCATCGCTCTGTCACATTCAACAATCGCGGATTTGGACCGGACGCCAGATGTACGACGATCGACTTAGTATGTACGTTGGGATGCGATTGTAAGTAGTTTGATCTACCGTGATCCAGTAAACCGCCCCTCCGAAGATCTGACTATTGATTGAGTGACAAAGATCAAAACGAGTTTACGGACGGTAACAACAAAGTGACTGCAGTCGACTTCGCCTGCGTGGTGGCATCGGGGAACATCAATGAAATATTCCTTGCCACCATCGGATCATAACATGTAAGATGATTGTGTCATCGAGGCTACACTATCTCTCATGTAGGGTCTAGATGACGATTTGCTTTGTATGATCGAGAACCCAAAGACTTCGCAAAGGGACAATAGCCCAGAAAAACTACTGGTAACAAAGTCACAATCAGTTGTTTATATGCCGGGCATTGGACATGGTGGAAAGGTGGAGATTGAGACTGACATTGGAGGAAAGTTTTGCGGTCGCTACAAAGCCTGAGGGAATTCAAGCTACTTGGAACGAGGGCGCATCACTATCGAGATTGCAGTTGGCATGAAGGTTATGGTAACCTTTAACGTCGAAACAGATCTGGACATAGCGAGAGGAGAATCAGTGGAAACTGTCTTGGATGAACGGGAGTCGAGTGTTTCACTTACAAAAGCTATTGTGGAGTTGGAGCAATGCGCTTATCCAAGTCAATGAATGGCTCATACCAAGGAAATTATATACGGAACAGGTTAATGAAGACCTGCGAGCGGCCAGATCTCGCTTTTCATCCGTGCAAGCAGAGGCACTTCAGGCTGTCACGGTTAACTGTGAAGGTCGCTCATGTTAATTGTTGCAGTGCGTGTGTATATGATTTTCTGGCAGCGATCGACGTGCGTGATGGCCAAATGTCGGGTGGTGAAATGGAAATGGCATAATGATATGATGTAAGTAACTTTGGGTTCTTCGGCCTGCGACCCGGCAGCAATGTGTAATACGTGGATGTGTTCGTTGTTAGTACATGTGCGCATGAGCGAGAGAACAGTTACATTTCAAATTTTATACTCGGATGGTTTTCATCAGTGCTAACTTTGTCGCTTCAGCTGGTCACGGCGCATAGCACACGTGTACGTGGATGTAGGCATGGTTATACATTATTCAAGTTGGGTTTATTCGGTTTAAATCAAGTACAAAGGTGTCGGTTCCGAGTTCACGAAATTAATCTACTACACAGTAATCTTTGATCCTTCTTAAGTCCACCTGCCACTTATACTGGAAATTGACGCATGCAGCCGCCATGCTATCTAAGCTGCTGTCGTCGTTGTGTTTTGTCCTAGGTGCATCGGCTGCCCTGACTCCGTCTGCTGCAATACCATCTACTCCAGCTGGCAATGTTAGTGCTGCTGTACTTGGCCCATATTCGCCGGTGACAACCTCGTCTAGTTCTTCATCAAGTTCTGCTGCAAGCTCTGCGATATCTTTTGCTTCCACCAGCATCTCAAACGCATCTACAACTGGTGTTATCACCGTTCCGCTCTCTAGCTATTCATTCACCCTCTATCCTACGCCTACTCTGAATCCTCGCCCTCCTATTTACCCTGCAACTGATCCTTTGAATCCCCCCTCTGTCAGCAGTGATCCGCAAGTCGTACCTGATTTTGCACCTGCATGGTCTGCCGCTTACCAGAAGGCAAAAAACCTTGTGAGTTCATCCTTGTCAATGTTTGATTGTCTGACCGAATCTTCTATATTGACACGTGCTTGGTACTCAGATATCGGATTACACCATCGAAGAAAAGGCCAATATCACAACTGGGGTCGGTTGGGCGAACGGGTTGTGTATTGGCAATATCCCACCCAATAGAAAATTTCCCGGTTTATGTCTTGACGTGCGTAGCTTGTTTGTACATAAAAGGTGTTTCTCTCAGGATTCACTAGAATTCGCCTCTCGCCGTTTTTTTTGTCGACTACGTGACTGCGTTCCCCGCTGGCATTCAGGTAGCGTCCACGCAAGTCATCTTTGAGTTCACCAACTTTACATGTCTGATATCTATCACAGCTGGAATCGTGCTCTGATGCGTGCTCGTGGCCTGGCTTTGGGCCAGGAGTTCAAGGGCAAGGGCGTCAACCTTGCCCTTGGTCCCATGATGAACATGGGTCGTGTCCCTCAAGGTGGCCGTAACTGGGAGGGTTTCGGTGCAGATCCTTTCCTGACCGGCGAATCCGCATACGAGACAATTTTAGGCCTGCAAAATGGCGGAGTACAAGCCACTGCCAAGCACTTTATCAACTAGTTTGTCTTTTCTTACGCTTGTTTACTCTTGTCCTTATCCCACCAGTGAGCAGGAACACTTCCCAACATTAGAATCTTCAAATGTTGATGATCGGACTCAGCATGAGATTTACGCGCACCCGTTCTTGCGCAGCGTTATGGCCGGCGTTTCGTCCGTTATGTGCAGTTATAGTAAGTTTCAACCATATGCTATTCACATCATTTGAAGTTTGAAACACAGACCTCATCAACGAAAGTTACGCTTGCAACAACGACAAGATGCTAAATGATATCTTGAAGCGAGAGTACGGTTTCCAAGGTTTCGTTCAATCTGACTGGTCGGCGACGATGTCGACCCTCTCTGCTGTCGCAGGCCTTGACATGACCATGCCAGGTGATATCACGTTTGACTCCGGCAACTCCTACTTCGGAGGCAACCTGACAAACTACGTGAATGATGGGTACATCAGCGTCGCCCGGTTGGATGACATGGCGACGCGCATCATCGCTGCTTGGTACTTCCTTCACCAGGACGAGGCCTACCCTACGACGAACTTCAACGCGTTCAATCCTAATGACGAAGTGAACAACAAGCATGTGAACGTGCAGGCTGACCACTATAAGCTTGTAAGGGAGATTGGCGCAGCTGGAACGGTCCTTTTGAAAAATGTAAATGGGGCGCTGCCATTGAACAAGCCGAGGAACCTGGTATTGATCGGAAGCGATGCCCGTCCAGGCCAATTTGGCCCGAACGAGTTCCCATATCAAGGTGGAAGTGATGGGATTCTGGCTATGGGCTGGGGATCTGGGTATGTGCTCTCTCAGACGTACTTGTACTTTTCCTGAAAATTGATCGACGACACATAGGACTGGTTACTTCCCTTACCTTATTTCGCCTCTCGAGGGTATCCAGGAGCGTGCTCGCCAGGATGGGAGCAGCGTGTTCTGGGACTTCGACGACTGGAACACCACTCTGGCTGGTAATATGGCATATGGGGAGGCTGTTGCTCTCGTTTTCACTAACTCCGACTCTGGCGAGGGTTTCCTCACTGTTGATGGTAATCAGGGAGATCGGTACGTTCCTCGCATATCTTCGAGTGATGGCTTTGCTCATTTCCAGCCAGGAACAACCTTACTGCTTGGCACAACGGTGATGACCTGATCCTTGCTGTCGCTGCGCAGAACAACAATACGATAGTCGTCGTGAACAGTGTGGGCCCGCTCATTATAGAGCCTTGGATTGAGCACCCTAACATCACCGCTGTCGTCTGGGCTGGGATTCAAGGCCAGGAGGCAGGTAATGCTATCGCTGACGTACTTTATGGCGCATACAACCCTTCTGGAAAACTTCCGTATACTATTGCTAAAGATATCGTCGATTATCCCGCTCAACTCGTCACCAATGATCCAGGAAGCGAGATTGTGAATATTGATTACACGGAGGGGTACGTGCACAACAAGGCCGCAGTGTATTGATTCCACGGTCCTTGTAGGCTATTCATCGATTATCGCCACTTTGATCAAGTAAGTTTCCCAACTCTACGTGGTGCTTTCATATCTCTAACAAGGATAAATGTAGGCGAATATCACGCCGCGCTTCGAGTTCGGTTTCGGCTTGAGTTACACCACGTTCACATACTCTGACCTTTGTGTGACTCCAATTCAGTCATCGGACACTGATCAGGAGAATTTGATCACTGCTTGGGAGAATGGGAAGGCTTCGCCCATCGCTGAAGGATCTTCCACTGCGCTTTGGTGAGGTCAATTCAAACCAATGAAGGATCTACAGACTGATACCGTTACTTATTAGGCTCCACGAGTCTGCCTTCCGGGTAACTTTCGAGGTCACCAACACTGGACCTGTATCTGGGACTGAGGTTTGTGACACCCATTAAGCTCGCTATCTTATATTTACGCCCAAGTCACTCGCATAGATCCCTCAGCTCTATATCCACCACCCGTCTTCCGCTGGCGAGCCTCCATCAGTCCTGAAGGGTTTCACAAACGTCGAAATCTCGCCGTACGATACGAAGCAAGTCTCAATATCACTCTCGCGCTATGACTTGTCTATTTGGGACGTCGTCGCTCAGGGGTGGCGCAAACCTGACGGCCAGATCTCGTTTTCCATCGGTGCGAGCAGTAGGGACTTTAGGCTACAGGGCGATATTCCTACTTGACGCAGTGCATGTACTTGTTGTAGTTTTTGCTTTAATGTAATACTAGACCTATCGGCACTGACGTTCCATGCTATGTGTTAATTCCCCGGATGCTCAAACTCACTTTAAAAACATGATGTTTACAAAGAAATTATTACAATGAAGCTTAAGTACACGACGATAGTCCAGATCTATATTCTCCCTGTGCAGTACTCGATTAGACTACTTCTATGCTACACGCCACTGCTGGTTAACAGATGTCCATGCTCCTGGAAGGCATTCGCAGTCATGCCACTTCCTTCGTCAAACTCGGCCGCGAGTTCAGCGTGATATTGTCGAACACTAAGGACAAGACGTGGTCCCAGCACAAACATTTGCACCGGCTGGGCAAAATTAAGAATGCCGAAATAAACACCACCTTCCAGGGAATCAGAGGACTGCAGTGATGATTAGGAGTGGTCAAACGCAAATGACTGTCACAGATTGGCGTACCAGCTCTGGAGATAGTGGGCCGAGGTAGAGGCAAGATACGGCAGCAAAGCTAGCACATGCAGAACTTCAGTGAACAAGATAATAATAGAATTCACGGAACTCACGACACAAAGTATAGCATATGAGTTCTGATTAAAACCGTGACATAGTCTCTGATGGTCAATCCTGTTGGTCCATGTTGCCGTAATTCACGAAAGTGGTCTACGACAATCCAGACTACAAGACAGAAGGCAGTGAGCTCCCACACAATGGCAGGAATCCACGCCGTTTCATGGAGATGGACGGCATCCATGTCAGCGAAGACAATGGCACATTGATTGGTGTCGGAAAAGAAGCGTTCCTCTGATATTTGCCCATCAGTCTCGTGTGCTCAAGGCTTACATATCTACAGCTGAAAGCTTACCCCCTGAAACGCCAATGCCCGCGACTATCACCATAACTCCGGTCGTGATAGTTGAAGCCATCAAGACAACGATGAGAAAGATGAACATCTTTTTGGATCGCCCGTACATGGCATGTATGCGAGTCATCATGACGACTTGCATGATGGTCAATATCAGTGGGATGCGGCAACTGAACAACTCACCGCCCAGCATCGCATTGACGACGATAGTCATCCATACCAGTGTAAACCAAAGGATGGCGCCTGAAAACATGGGTTACTCGGAGGACTCGATAATTCAAATGAACGTACAGCTGATGTGCTTATTATGTCGGATTAACCAGCCGCCAGAAAATGATGCTCACCCCTGTATGGGGCTTGAATGAGCAAAAGGGGATGCCGGGCATCATCGTACAGAATACCCACTGTATTTGTCATTGATACTGAATTGAGATACCCTATATGCCACTGATCAGAAGACTGGGACACGGACACAGTATATTTTGAGATACATACACAGCATGTTGATGCTGAATGCGAGATGTTGTTTATTAGCACGGTGCAGTGCCACCTAATAAATAATCTTGCAAATTGTACGTACACGCAATATAGTAGTCCAATGTAGCGCACCTAGCGTATTCAAGTTGAAGTCAGCACAAGTTGTCAACTACGCTCATAGCATAACCTACGCAAATATATAGAACAGTCATGAGGGACCAGTGTTGCGTCTTCTTCATTATCTTCCTGTGTTTCTGATATAAGACTTTTGCTCACCCAGACCAGTTCGACCTGTTACAACATGCTGAGCGGCTTCGCTGATAAAAACACGTTGACTTGCTACCTCTTGTCCGAATGCTAAGGCTTGAACATACATCCACATGGTTATCAATAAAAAGTTATTTTGGAAGGAATGATCTCGCTCACCCCAATCGTATGCCACCACAGCGAAGGATGCAACTGCGAAACCACAGTCAAAGATGGAGTGAGATATATGGCGCATCTGCCTTGCTCAGGTTCTTCACGAACCTAAAAAGTAGCTGGAAATACGGTTCCAGTCGAGAAATGGCCACCAATAGGGATCATGTGAGATGTAAGACATAGCAGGAATCAGTGGTCAGTGAACTTCAAAGGCGGAGATGATATCCCATCACATCCTGTTGTTGCACTTATCAAGGTTATCATTGGGCGCAGACTGAGCACAGCAACTTGACCAATGATATCAAATTACAGCGGGCCTGGTACCTTGAAGTATGAGGTAGACATGTACACCGGAACAAGACCGACGTATAGTAATCGCCTCCGGCTTTACGATGTATTATGTAATTTGGCCTTGGCACATACTAGTGGCCGCACGACTGCTACTTGGGCGAAAACACCGTGATCTGTCACTTTGGTGGGTTTCGAGGTCCGAAACGGCGACTGACTGCCAACTGGCGACAGCGGAGAACGGTACCACCTCACATGATGATGGGGCTGAATTACTGCACTAGTCCCAGGCTGGCTAACCTCCAATCATGCATACAGGTCCGAGCCCTCTGCTGTGCCCCTTAATTGCAGCTCTTCGCCATCATATTCCAACGGATTAGCGAGACTCAACAGCGCCGGTGCACAGCTATGGTATCAGAGTATCATTTTGCACACTCTGACCCTATTTGTATTCGATCTCCTGTGCCTTTCGGATATTCTATGCGGGAGCTACACAAACACTGGCGCTTGCTTCAACCATGCGTCCCTTATTAAGAGAAATATATCAATTTCATGTACATGGGACGGAACGAGCTATATCTAAGATGCATCATGCGTAAGCACAGATGAAAAGGAAGAGAAATGTTCGAGTAACAAAGGTTCTAGATGATTTCATGACTGACGCGAAGTGGAACGACGACCAAAGTAAAATCCGCAGCAGGAAACTTCGCAGGAAACTTCTCCCCTCCCACCGCTTGATTGGTGTGTTTCTGTTGGTCGTGCTTGAGACCCTTGTGCCCCTGCTTGAGACCCCTGTGCAGCTGCTGCGGGTTGACCCGGTTGCGTTGAACTGTTGGTTTGGTTGCCGTTTGCACGTTGCATAGCTGCCTCCACTTCTGCCTTGCTGGGAGGGGCAATGGCGTATCTCTGCAATTGTGTTTTGAATGTTATTATTGAAGAATAGCAATCATGATTGCGAGTCGCACTCACATCTTTTTTGCGGCCAGGAGCTACTTCAACGGTGCGGCTGGAATTTCCTACACGAAATAAGTTGAAATTCCAATTCCGGGACTCGCGAGGTGGGGGCGCATCTGTAGATTGAGCGCTGAACCGGAGAGTGCCAAGCAAACGGCGCCAATGAATGAGAGACACTGAGCTATCCAATGGAGCTGGACGACGAGACGCGTGGTCTAACTCGCTGCCGAAGAAATCATTGCCCTGTATCATCAAAGTCAGATTAGCAAGAGCTGAAGAACGAAAGATTCTACTGACATATTTCGCCGAGCTTCTGTTATTGGCCTGTTGTTTGAAATGCAGACGGGCATTAAGAATCAAACGAAACATATGAGACAAGATGAGGTTACTCACGAATGGTGGGCGCACAACTCTCGGTTGGGCTGGACGTCTCTGGTAAAAAGTGAGATCTAGTGTGAAAGAGAAGCAGAGAAGACTTGCCTTCAGCTTGGCATCCCCATCATTCACATCCTAAATGGCCAGAAGCATTAGGAAGGAAAATTGGATTACAAAGCGCATACATACCACAACGTTTTTGAGCGCCGCCTCCAGGCTCCATACATATATTTTTTTGTCTGATCCTGTGCTGGCAATGTATTTGCCATTGGGGGACATGGTAACAGCCAAGACTTGGTCATCATGCAAGAGTGGATCTCCGGCTGCCTGATTGGTCTTGAGTTTGAGATTCCAGATGCGAATGGAGAAATCCTCTGATGCGCTAACAATATAGCTTTCATTGGGAGTAAGACAGATGGATTTCACAGCGTTGGTGTGACCCCGAAAAATGACGAGTTCCTGTCCATCAATCACCCGCCATTTGCGGATGGTGGTATCAAGTGAGGCAGAAAAGATGTGTGCGCCGTCCTTGGACCAACACAATGACGTCACCCAGCTTTCATGTCCCTTGATTTCGATAAGCAGCTTGCCGTCCCTTGACCACACGCAGATCGCGCCGCGCCCGCCACTCACAAATTTGTCGCCTTGTGGAGAGTATTTGATGGTCATAACCCATCCGTGACTGGTCTGTATGGGTGGTGCTATTTGTCGACCAGTATTCGGGTTCCAGCGTCGTATGGTGCCGTCCTGTGATCCACTTGCTATCTCCAGGGCCTTGCGAGACCAATCGAGGCACATTACTGCAGCGTCGTGCCCCTCCAGCGGGTCGCCGATCATGCTGCCTTCCTTTATATTCCACACCCGCAGTCTGCCATCTCCACTTCCACAAATGACCATTGTTTCATCTGGGGATACCACCATCGAACCTATCCCTCCTCCATCGCTATTCAAGGGTTTTCCCACTGGCTCTCCGTCTGTTTTCCACTGACGAATCGAACTATCCACAGACGTGCTCATTATATTGCCACTGGTACTCAAGTAGGCAAGGCTCCATATGCATTCGGAGTGACCCTCGATGACGCACTCCGGCGTCAAACTCCCTGCCGGACGTTCTGGCTTTGGTTTCTTCCACGACGTGGTCCGAGTATTGTGGTTGACGAAGTAGGACCGACCCAGTTGTGAGATGTGCCATTCACATCCAGGAACAGTGAGGTATCCGGGATAATCTAATTTCAACTGTGAGTTCGTCGCTCCTTGTTTTGCAATTTCACCCCTCACCTAGTCGCACTCCTGGTAAAGGTCGGTTCCATGAGACCATCGTGAACGTGTTATCTTGATATTGTGTGTTACCATCTGACGACGATTTATACTGCTGCCACATAGGAGGAAGCGTGTCATTCCCGCCTGCTTCTAATTGAGTAAGCTGGTAGGTATCATAAGGTAGCTGCTCACCTTTCCAAAGTGCATCCTGGCGATGCTGTGCACCATATGGTGGTGGATATTTCGCGCTTGTCCGATATGTGGGTGAGTGCAATGGCACTTCTTGTTGTCTGTCTCTCCGTTGTGCTGATATGCTTGACTCGCCAACTTCGCCCAGCATGACTCTGATCGAGAAGGGACGCCGTGCTTCCAGATGGTTGGACGATGAGCTAGAGGCTACGCTTGATAATGGGCAAAATCA